CCAGCGAGGCGACCCCGGCGGCGAGCAAGGCAGCTACAGTGGCACTGGCTTTCTCGGGGGTGCGCACTGTGCCACGGACGGAGTGGCCGGCGCGCAGCAGGGCGGCGATGCAGTGCGCGGCGATGAAGCCGTTGGCTCCGGTGACTAGGGTGAGCATTTGGATTGTAGAAGGCTTAGGATCTATGTCGGGTTTAAAGTCTGGACAGAATTAGTGAAAGAGAATAATATCCACTGAATTATCTTTATATTCCTATATGGCTTGAAATTATACGTAGTTCGCAAGGTGAAGTCCCCTTCCAGTATGGAGCTTTTCCGTCGCGTAGATTAGCAAGTGTTTCCCGCGCGGTTGAAGCGGAGACGGAAGCCCTGGTTGTGCATTGCCTCGGTCGCTGTGATCTTTTTTTTATTTGATTCTCTTTTCTTTTCTTTTCTTCTGTTTTGTTGATTGCTGGAATCTAGTATCTTAATATTCCTCGAGCTGACTTTGTATCTTCGATTGTAAATATCTATATTATTTATGAGCAACGGGTGTAGACAGTGGATATCCTACCAAGATTAGGAAAATATCCACACAACGTATCTCAGAACATGGGGGTGTTTATAGCGTGAGCAAGCTTTTCTTTTGCTCGGTATTTCCTACTCCGTTCCCTACCCTACTGTTCTGATACTTGTCGGAAGTCTGCTCCGTTGAAAAGTGGTGGATATCAGCATTGGATGTACGTTTCAGGCCTGAGGTATATGAGACTAGAATCACACAATTCCCAGTCCTTTATTACTGTGAAAGCTACTGCCTCAGTTGTTGTGCGCAGGTGAATCCATCCTGCGAGCCAAAATCACCACCTTCTCACTGGCAACTCTAATACACATAGCGAAAGTCGACCCCCTCCCCCCCAGCCGCAACTCCTGCCCCCTCTAAACGTCGCTCAATGTGACTGCCGGCAGCCTGACCCATTCGCTCTGCCCGCGCGTTCCGACGGCCGTACACCACCCGCAGCGTGGTGGAAATGACAATGGCACCGGCATTGACGGCGACGATCGTGATCTTGGCGGGAATGTACCTGTCTGAATTAGCAAGATTGCCTTAAGGTACATAGCGAGGGAAGAAAGACAAAGAAGCTGTCACAACGCACCCTGGAGCGTCGCGGGCTTGAAAGGTCTGCGGGCCGATGATGTTGGCGATGCTGAACCCGGCCGAGACGAGTGTACTCCCCGCCACCTGTCCGATCGTCAACTCGGCTGCTGCTGCTGCTGCTAATGCAATATTGTGTATGGCTTACCTTCATACTGTAGCCCTTGTAGTTCGCACCGGTCCATGCGAAAATCAGAGCTAGCGGCGCGACGGTCTGTATATTGGTCAGCAACCTATCTCTACTTTACTCGGACATTCCCGCGCTCCGGGAAGACCAACCGTGTTCACCAGATATATACCCGCCAGACAACCGGCCTGATTTGAAGATGGCAGGAAAGACATCAAACACGCGCCCAGCAAGGTGGGCAGCAGGAGGAGGTTGATCGCCAGCCACCGGGAGTAGCCTCGGGCAATAGCCAGGGTCGATCCCATGGTCGCCACAATGCTGATCACCCCGGAGGGCATGTTCAGCAGGGCGCTTTCCTTAGAGTTGTACCCGAACTCCTTGATTAGAATGGAGGAGAAGGTGGTGATGACGCCGCTGGGATGGTGATCAGGATGGTCAGGAGGACGAGCAGGGCCGTTTGCAAATCTCCGAATGCTTCCAGGAACGAACTCGGGTGCAAGCCCTTCTCACCCTCTGTACCACCGGCCTGCTCCTGCTGCAGCCGCTGCGCCACACGGTCCTTGTCGCTGGGGCTCAGGAACCCCGCTGCCGCCGGAGTGGCCGGGAGTACGAGGAGGACCAGCAGCGCCGCGAGGATGTTCACTCCCCCAATGGCCACGAACATGATCCGCCACCCATGAAAGGCGAGCGTGGGCGAGGTATGCTGCGCCGCGAAGGAGATCAGCCCGCCTACTATCTGGCCGGTGCCCAGACCGCAGTACCAGAGGCCATATCGCGGGGTCGACTCGGCTCGCGTGTACCACATGCTGGTATACATAGTCAGGGCGGGGGCTGTAATCGACAACGGTCATTAGATGCACTACATTGGACACGAAAGGGGATAATTTCTGACGCACCGATGACCGCCTCCAGCGCACCGAGAAGCACTCTCAGCGACATCATCCCGGCGAAATTCTGCGCCGCAGCCGAGCAGCACAAGAGCACTCCCCAGCAGAGAATATTGACTCCGAGAACCTTGGTAACCGGGTATCGTTGCAGCAGGAAGCCTACTTGCTGTCAGCGACGGACACGATTGCAGCAGCAGAAGCAGCAGAAGTAAAGAGAACAGACCCTGAGGTATCTCAGCAACGGCATAAGCGATGAAGAACCCCGTAGCCAGCCAGGAGAAGTCATTGCCCTGCATCCCGAGATCATCCTGCATCCCCATCACGTTGGCATACTAGCTCCATCAGCCATCAGCAACTGGTATCCCGACGAGACCACCAGGGTGCACATACATTCAAAGCCACCTTGTCCAGAAACTGCAGCAAGTAGGTCAAGAACATGGTCGGCAGGATGCGCCAGTCGATCCGACGCAACAAGGCTAAGTCATCGTGCAGATCGCCGAGGCCGTAGTCGACGGCGGCCAGCTTTTCCTCTTTGGTGTCTGTCATGGTGTATGCAGCGATGGTAGCAGCATCGGAGGACAAGGAGCGCGGATGGCATGATGAGGGTGTTTAATAAAGGTCTATTGTGGTATTGCAACGAGGTATCGATGCTGGCTGTCACTGGAGGCAATTAGGGCGATAAGCTTCCGACTAGTCCTGCGGCCGTCGCGTAGATAAACAGCCAGATACGAGCCGTCGGCTGCCCGATAAGAGTCGGAAGCAATGATTCATCCTTTCGAAAATGCTCAGGATACATTTATAGCACAACCTCGAACTCGACAATGAGGCATAGAGACAAACTTCAGCTGTAATAATTATTGAAATATTGAACTGTACACTCACAATGCCCTCCCGCACCGACTCCCCGCTGAACATTGCCATCATCGGCGCCGGCCTCGGTGGCCTCAGCGCAGCCGTGGCTCTACGTCGTCAGGGACATCACGTCACGGTATACGAGCGATATGACTTCGCTGGGGAAGTGGGCGCCTCGCTGAGCGCCGCCTCCAATGGATCCCGCTTCCTCGAGCAATGGGGGGTGGATGTCAAGGCTGCGAAGCCGGTCAGTTCCACCTGCTCTGGTATCAGCCAATACTCATCGCGAGACACAGGTGATCCTCAAGAAACTCATCATGCACGACTGGACGACCGGAGAAGTACAGAAAGAATACGGTCTGGGGGACTACAAGGCCAAGTTCGGCACGGTCAGTCGGGCATTCACACCCGCATAGCCCTAATGCCACTGACATGGACCCATCAGGAGTACAACAACTTCCACAGGATTGACATCCACCAACAATTGCTCCGCTCCGCCTTCGACGAGCCGGGAGAGGGTCCACAGTGCGTGTTGAAGGTGAATCACAAAGCCGTGTCGCTGGACGCGGAAGCCGGGGACATCAGGTTCGAGAACGGCGAGACGGCGTCGGCGGACCTCATCGTCGCTGCAGATGGCATTCGCGTACGCACCCAATCTCTGGCGCTTTACCCTAGGCTCTCAAGCATTAACATCAAATCCTTGATGTAGTCCGAAAGCCGCCTCCAGATGGGCATCACCCCCGACTTCACCATGTCAACCTCGTGCTGCTACCGCTGCATCATCAGCGCCGACAAGCTGCGCCGCCTCGGGCTGGACGACTATATCGACAACGCGGCGATCGAGTACTGGGGCGGCATCGGGATCAACAAGATCGTCATGTCCCCCTGCAGCGACGGGGATGTCGTGAGCTGCTACTGCTTCTACCCGGCCGAGCACAACAATCTCCGCGACGATGGCTGGAACATCTCCGCCACACCGGAGCAGTTGGTGGCCACGTTTCCCGCGCTGGATGAGCGGATGCAGCGGTTGCTAATCAATGCTGAGGATATCAAGATGTGGCGCTGTAGGGCCTCCCCATCCCTCGGCTCTAACAGGTTGAAGGAAGCCGTTGGCTGATCTCGAACAGTGTACCGCCACCAGCCGTACCCCTACTGGGTCAAGGGCAAAGTCTGCCTGCTGGGCGACGCCGCCCACCCGATGATGCCCGACCAGTCACAGGGCTCGTGCATGGCCTTTGAGGACGCAGGCGCCTTGGGGCTGATCTTCCACCGCACCTTCGCCGAGGAGTACAGCGTGGCCGAGGGGCTGCAGCTGTACGAGCGACTGCGCAAGCCGCGGGCCACGCACATCCAAGCTGCCAGCTATCGGGCCCGCGAGGACCTCAACGAGCGCATCGGGTGGAGCTCGTCCACGGACCGACCGGGGAAGTTGACGATTGAGGAGGTTTGTGGGTATAACATGCAGGTTCACCTAGAGGAGCTCAAGGCCAGTAGATAGAAGGGGGTAAAATGTGCATATCAACTTTCAAATTCGTACCAGTTATGAAAAAGGCTAAACACAGTGCATCCGAGGTGTCTGTAACTAAGTAAACATATACATAGAGATGAGGCAAATCACACGAACACCATCCCCGGAAACAGACTGTAACGAACACTGGCCCAATTCGCGTCCGCCCGGTCGTCCGCCCAGATGGCTTCGAGCAGCCGCCGCGCTTGGAGAATATGCCCCCAGCCCAGCGTGTTCTCCATCACCATCAGGCGCTCCTTGATGCCCATCCGTCGGTCCATGCTGCGGCTGCTGGCTCCCGCTATCACCAGTGGGAAGAGCAGACTGCCCTCGACGGGGCTGCCGTAGGGGATGGCCCGCCCCGCGGCCACGATTCCCGCGACGGCCTGCTCGACGTCCGCATGGTTCGGATCGTAGCCGTCGACAATCTGATGCAGGCGTAAGCGGATCGCCCATTCGAAGGCTTGCGTGGCCAGATGGTCTACTTCACTGCCCGGGCAGGCTGCTTCGTATTCCCGGCGCCAGCTGTCTAGATGGGCGCGTACGTGCGCCGCGGCGGTCCGGAAGCCGATCTCCGAGAGGTCGTCGATGCGTCGGCTGCGATGCGCCGCGAGAAGATTGACTCGGCCGAGGGAATCCAGTAAGCTCGTGGGGAGTCCAGATATTGTGTAGCTTAATGATGACGATGTGCTGGCAGCGGGGGGAAGGTAGGACGGGGGAGAGGATCCCAACGTAAGGTCGCTCAGGCGCTCCCCTGCCCGTAACAGCGGGGGTTTGCACCGGGAGATGGTGGACATGGAGTCTAGGTAGTGGAAGAGCTGGAGACAGAACGTCCCTTCACTGGTTGAGTCAAGTCGGTGCCGGTCGATCGCGCCGAGGAGGCGCCCGGCCGCTTTGAGGTGCCATTTCCAAGCGCGAGAGGTGCCCTCGAACAGCTCCGTGAGACACAGCAGGAGGATGGTGGTGCAGGCTTCGAGGAAGAATTGCCGATTCGGTCGATGACTGAGCAGATTATTGACTTGGGACAAGGCTGTTCTGGTCAGTGGCACTGTTATTGTCGATATACCATGGAAAATTGAGTGTAGTTGTTGTTGTGTGAAGAACAGACTTACCCCGTCCTTGTCGCGTTAGGGCTCGGTTCCAGATTTGGGGATAGACGCGCCGCCAGTGGCAGCCACTCAGCCCTAACAGGGCGCTGGTGAGAGTCTCCGAGGCGGCGGCCATAGGCAGCAGAGTCGCCAGAAATGGGTTGGCGGTGGAGTTCGTCGTGGACCGTGACAGGGCTCGCGCCACGATTTGGACATAGTGGTTGAAGAGACAGCGATCTTCATCATTGTGCAGATGGGCATTGAGCCCGCTGCCTGGGGGTGGCGCGACGGGTCCGAGGATCATCTCCACATCGATCCAGGAAGGTGAGAAGAGCGATATCGGATCATCGCCGACGGATGATAAGAGATGATCGGAAGGGGAGATCGGATCGAGCTCTGGGGTTGGATCCGAAGCGGAAGACAGGATGAGGTCGTGCGCAGCTGCGGATAAGGGCATTTCAGGAGGCCACGGCAGCGGGGAGACGATCACCGGTGGCGGAGACCGTGCCCTGGGAGTTTTCCAGTAACATGGTAGGTTCAATCGCCGACAGTCGCTACATCGAGGTCGTTTCTCATCGCATTTCTTCTTCCTATTCGTTGACAGTCAGCAGGGGGTGCATGCTTATGCAGTATCGATTGTGTCCTCATGGGTCCCTCTACCGCGTTTTGCAGGAGATACATCCATCCCGGGACCGGGAGGCTCTGGGCCGGCGATTCGCGAGCGTCTGGGCTTCTGCATTTGGTATGCCAGGCTGTTGGGGCTCACAAATATGACCAAGGCCTGGTTAGTCAGTATTGAAATCAACCCGGATGCTGAAGAAGTGCAATCATACGTGCGCAGCGGGAGCACGGCGAGGTGCCATCACAGCGTTGTTTCTATGCCAAGTCAGCCCATGATCAGTCTCAGATGGAGGCAGTAAAGGGGGGGGGTTCTCACAATCACTGCGCACCGAGCGCAGACACGACCCGAGGCAGCCATAGTATCAAAGCATTGAGGGGAGAGGCGAGAAGCGACGGAGGAGGGGAGTTGTGTCGTAGCAGTTGTCAGTTATCAGGGACGCGACGGGGAGGGGTTCGATAAGGCGGTAGAGTCAACGAATGGGATATCAGTGCACTCGGTAGTGAACCCTACTGATAGCCGAGGCGCGGAGAAGTTTCTATCTAGTAGCTAGCAGGAAATCAATGCGCCTGCAAATCAGTGGCACTGTTTATCGGTTGATTGGTAAACTTGACTTCACTTCCTATTCACGCTAATCCAGGCAAGGTTAGGTGGGACTTCTCCCCGGTCGACATCTGGGCTGGAATGCGGGGAAGTAAAAGCCACGTTGACATCACAGTTTGAATCACGTCTGTTCCTCTTCAACAGCCATGGAGTTCTATCTCCCAGCGGACGGGGGTGAGAGAGATACCTGGGTTAACAAGTTGAGCGGCTCTTGGATTGATCCGCTGGGGATCGGATCCCAACACAGCGAACGAGGAATTACCTTAGCAACAAGGACGGTACTCTTTTGACTTTCACATATTTGACTCGAGCTTTGATATCTGATTTCCACCCGTTCCGCGGCCAAAATTGGCTTTATCTAGTCTTTAGTATATCTGGCTTGCGCTGTGGATAGGGCCATCACAGGTGGATGTAGGTCACGTGATAGTCACCGCCTGTGGATGGGATCACAACTAAACATTAATGAAGAGCACAAGATTCCTAGCAGAAGAAAAGATAAAAGAATGCTATCAACGTTGTTACGGGTATCTATTTTGGTCACAATTAGATTGACAACAGAGCATCACGACTTCGAAGACCAAGGTAGCTTCTAAGCCAAATCTACGTATACCAACAACATCTAGATATAAAATCCACAGCGTCTGTCCTATTCAACAAGCATTACTGTTTCTCATCCACTCTTGGTTTCTTGGTAATTGGAACTACTTGAAATATCAACATGTGAAGCAGCCTGGTGACCGCGTTGCATCACATGGCCGGATTACTCAGCTATGTCGACAAGTCATATATATATATCCTGTATCCCGAGCGAGAGGCCAGATCCCGGTTCAAGACGCGACTGTTGACAAGAGACCCTTGGTAGAACTCGAAAGGTGGGTAGACTACGATACGAACTGAACTCGCACTTGTTAATAGATAGTTTGTAGCAAGTTTGAACCCATATTACCATCATCCCCCAACCCCGTCCCCCGCACATGAGCAATGGACATCAATATTAGTCGAACTCTGATTACTTACAGCATCAGATCCAGGTAACATGGTCTTAGACTACGGGATCCGACTGAAGAGGTCTACTGCAATGCATCTAGCATTAAACAGTATGAACCCGGTACAGATGCGGCTCAAAGTCCAGTTCGTGATTACCACAAAGCTGGAAGGAGACCAACCAATTCAGAGAGTGGGGCACGGAGCAATTTTGGAGAGTCAATCAATAGGTAAGTATAGTGGAACTGGAAATGATAAGCCTACTCTAATCAGCCTTGGCTATATTAGTGCTATGCGTTACTGAAGCTTCGCTGTCAACAGTCTTGTATCGAGCTTGTCACGAGCACTGAGCCAAAGCCGGCCACGAATCAGTCAATGAGCGCTAATGCCTGTTCCGATGTTAATTCCATTATCGACCCAGAAGAGGCACTACGGAGTACCTGTACTGAGGCTGTGCTGATCTCGGTGAAAGTACCGCATACTGCCATTGCCCCTCTATCATCATCCCTGGTAATCATGGGGCTGGAAATCAACCTGGTGGGTCGGCAGGTATGTACTTATGTGCGGTACAAGCATCGGGCTAGTCTATCAATCCCTGTTCCAGCTACCGTAAACCGCAACTGAAAATCTTCTGCTCAGGGAATTCGGGCTGGCAAGGCTGAGGATATCAAATATTCCATACCTGGGGGCTACACCGATGGTTCTGAACGCCGCATTCAAGATCCACGCGGCCGCTTCGATCGCGCAACGGAGGGATTATGCTTAAGCTGCAATGATTCCTTTCCGGCTCCATAGTGCCTTAACTGAAGATTGTAATCCTTTGTCCTTTAAGGAGGAAGATGAGAATCAGCAGCACGGACTAGATGTCATTGAGGCTACTCAATCGCATGGCGCCATGCGGTCCCACTGTGGCGGGGCTCAGCACTTCAGCGGCATTGGCCCCCACGCCCCACTCACTGCGCAGGAGGGGCGTATTCTTGTATTGTGGTATTGTGGTATTGCTGTATTTTGTCTTATCGAATTGATGTTTGTTGTCCTTTTGTTTAAGCCGCAAGTATCCTGCAGCCGACGACTAGTACGGTACGCTGGCTGACAAGGCATCCCGGGATAATAATATGCATTTAGGGCAAGCTTATAAGTAACTATCTCATCGGCTCCTCCCACTCTCCTCTCCCAGAGATAATCGAAAAGACCCAAACTCTCCCTAAGCATGTCACCTCCAACGAACAGCTATGCGTTGCACCGCAACTACCACTCCTCCGCTCGGTAAAGAACAACCCCACGGTCGGCTGGGCCCCCGAAAGGGAGTGACATCGAAGACATCAAACTAAATCCACACACCAGGTTAAACGCCCAGAATCACCTCTGGAAGGATGCGCTGGGCTACAGCCTGCACCCGTGCATGGGGCTGACCGCCGACTCGGCCCCGCGCATCGCCGACATCGGCACGGGCACGGGCATCTGGATGATGGACGTGAAGCGCGAGTATCCCGCCGCGCAGATCGACGGCTTCGACATCTCCTTCGCCCAGTGTCCGCCGCCGGAGTGGCTGCCGGATGGCGTGCGGCTGCGCGAGCTGGACCTCTATGAGCCGCTGCCCGCCGAGCTGGAGGGGATCTACGACGTCGTGCATCTGCGGCTGTTTTTTGTGGTGATCCGCAACGATGACCCGGGTCCAGTGCTGCGGAATATGCTGCGCATGCTGAGTGAGTCTTTACTTTTTTCTTTCGCCTTGCTTCCTTTCACGGTCTCTTTCTAATTTTCTCATTACGAAACGAAAGAGCCCGGTGGGTGGCTGCAATGGTCGGAACACAACTACGAGTCGTGGTCGGTGCAGTCGGTGGGCGGCCGGGAGACCCCCGCCTTGGACGAGATGATGAAGTTGATGAAACAAACGGGGTTGGGACGGTAAGCAATGGACAACGGACGCATAGGCACTCTTACGAATGAATACTAACGGAACGGTACGGATAGCTGGGTGCCTGGCCTCCCCGATCTCTTCGCGCAACATGGGATGGTGGACGTGCGCAAGGCGCTGCATCCGTGCAGCCCGCACAGCCGCGTCTACTGGAGCCAGCTCCAGTTCAACTCCAACGAGGAATACAGCTATCTGGCCATGGATAACAGTACGGCGGAGGCGGCCGGGCCGCGTCTGCGCACCCTTATCGGGCAGGCTGCCGACGAGTGTCGCCAGGGGGCGGGATTCGACTTTACCATTGAGGTGGCGTTGGGCCGGAAGTCCGTGGGGGAGGTGTAGTTAATATAATATCGAACCAATAATATAGGATGTGTCTGCAGGTTTAGCAGGTTTAGCACGAGCGCTAGTGTGTTTAGGGCGTGAGGAATGTGGCGTGAGGGCCATAGTAAGCAGACTATAGCGACTAACTTCTAGCGCAAAGAAGCTAGCACCACAATGGGCACAACATCGAGCACAGTTGGGGTCAGGCCAGCCTAACGAAAATGGGGCAAAGGCCGGAGGGGTCAGCAATGCAGAATTCAAAAATGAGAATTAATGAGAATTGGAAAGAACGGTCGCGAAAGGCTGGACTTGCGAGTTGGTCGAAGCGGCCCCCAAAAACTTCGCCATGGTATACAAAGAGTGTAGTTAGGGCCGCGTTGATAAGGCTGGCGTATCGCCTCATTTCTACTTTACCCCTCCGCCTCTCCAAATTACCATCAGCTGCAAGCCTTCCCTGGTGTGACTTTTCACAAACACCATCATGACGAAAGAGACCCCCAGTCAGATGCTGGCGCTGGCCCGTCAACTCGAGGCTGCAACCAACACCCCCGGCCAGCTTCCCCCCGCCAGCGATGCGCTACACTCGCGACTACTCGCCGCGACGCGTAATCTCCTGACCAGCCTGGAAACCCCCGAGAGCCAATTGATGCATCTGGCCAAGGCAGTACGTCTTCCGCCTGTTGTGTGCTTAATTTCTGCGAGCCATGTCTAAATCCGCCAGCCGGTGGCTCACGGGGTGTTACGCGCCGCACTGCGCATCCGACTGTTCGAGCGCTTCGACGAGGGCCCTCCCACTGCCACGGATCTGGCGCAACGCTGCGGCATTGATGTCGCGCTTCTAGGTAGGTACTGCCGTGCGCATGATCATCGCCCATAAATCGCGATGGGAAGATTTTTCTTTGACTGATGATCGTGCGAGGCAGTGCGTCTCATGCGAACCCTGGCCGCCATCGGCATCTTCACCGAACCCAGCCCGGGTGTTTACGCCCATACTCTACAATCGCAAACCCTACGCCAGCCCCAACATCGGGCCGTGATCCAGGGCATGTGCGTGATTACACCCATACCTGGCAGCCCTTTCAATCCTTCTAAGCCCTGCCTACCGTGCTAATCGACCGATCGACCGCAGGGCCGAGACCGCGACGTTGATGACGGCGCTCCCCGACTTCCTCGAGACCCACAAATGGCAGAACCCAGTCGATACACAGCCCACCCTCTTCGGATTTGCCCACCAAACCGACCAGACCATGTTCGAGTGGCTGGAGTCGCAGCCCGAGCAGCGCGCCATCTTCGCCGCCTTCCAATCCAGCACCGCCGCCCTCGCCGTGTGCCAGCTGCAGCCCTTCCTCCGCACTCTGCTCAGTGCGCCTTCGGAGGATCCTTCGAATGATAAAACCACAGCAGTCACGCTCGTGGACGTGGGCGGCGGCCGCGGCGCCGTGCTCCGCCAGGTCAGCGACGAGCTGGATCCCCCGCCGCGCGGTCGCATCGTGCTGCAAGACCTGCCCCAGGTCTTGGAGGGGGTGGACGGCGGCGAGCGCGTCGAGGTGATGCCCTACAACTTTCTCCAGCCCCAACCCGTTCACGGTGTGTCTCCCTTACCGCAAAATGCGCTTCGTCTGTTCCTCTGCTCATAGTTTACTGATGTTTCAAGGAGCCCAAACGTACCTCTTCCGTCACATTTTCCACAATTGGAGCGATGGCGTGGTCGCGACCATTCTGCAGAACACGGTGGCAGCGATGGGCCCGTCCTCGCGACTGGTCATTGTCGACCTGGTGCTCCCGGACGGAGGAGGCGCGTCTCCCTACGCGGCCTTTTTGGATATGAGCATGATGGCATTTGGGGGTATGGAGCGCACTGAGGCGCAGTGGCGGGGGATATTAGGGCGAGCCGGGCTGCAGGTGCGCCGCATTGAGCCGCTGGATGCGCTGACCCCGGGGTCAGACCAGATCATTGAGGCGATGTTGGTTTGACGCGATTTACATGATACCTGAGTAAGAGAAAAAAGATACTAAACTGGAATACAAATATTTCCAAGTGTTCGGAGCATTAGCATCATATTGCTATGAGCTTGTTCCGCTGCATGTACAGGATGGTTATCTTTTCATTATAGTACATCGATGCCGTCACCGGACCAAAGCCCCGCCCCCTCACGCCAGGTTCTGCTTCACAAAGGCAGCCACCGGGGCGGGATCGACCAGCCACGGGGAATGACCGGTAGGAACGGTGTCGGTGGTTATTTGGGCCCCCTTGGCGCGGGCCTTGTCCACCATCAACTGCTGCACGAAGAGGGGGATGGCGCGGTCGTGCTCGCACAGGAGATAGGCGCTGGGGATCTGGGTGTAGGCGGTGCTGCGGGCGGGCGAGTTCTTGGTCGCCCAGGCGTGCGGACGCAGCGTCTGAGCCCATTTCTCGCCGTCGGGGACGTCGTGGAAGAAGAGGCTGTAGGGGTCGACGGCGCTGACGGTGCCGTTGGCCTCCTGCGGCGGGGGTTAGCATGCAATCGGTTTGGGGGGACGAGACAATCGACTCACATCGCGGTCGTACCAGTCCGGAGGCACCCCGCCAAAGGCACCGATCAGACTCTCACCGACCTCCGGGATGAACGCCGAGATGAAGATCAACTTTTTCACTCCGCCCGTCGCGCCGGCGGCTTGTCGCTCGGCCGTGCTGAGCCCGTCCAGCGCGCTGTTTACAGGCAAGCCCGACCAACTGTGGGAGATGACCACAACCTCTTTCCCGGCATTGGCCTCCTGTTCGACTAGGTTGCGGAGTGTGTCAATGTCGGGCTGCAGGTCTTGCACGGTGGTGGCCTGCTGGATGGAGGGAAAGGCGACGAGATGGGTGGTGTGGTCGGGGAACTGGGCGGCCAGGGGCTCAAAGGCCGTGGGCGGATACCAGGCCCCAGGGCAGAAAATCAAGGTGGGATTCGAGGAAGCCATGTTGAGGCAGTGAGTTCGAACAGTGAAAGTAAAATGCAAATGGTGAGGATGAGGATTAGAATGAGGATGACGAGGAGGATGAGGATGCTGGCGCTGGTGGGCGACGGGCATTAATTAAGTAAGTAGGGCTAAATTAATTGCCCGCCAGTTAGCGGCGAGTCCATAATGTAACCGTTGGCAAGCCAACCACCACGTGTCTTGCACTTATCGCGCATCCCTGCACATTGTATCAAATGAGCTTAGTTAACACTAGTTAACGCACATTCACTTGTGAGTCCGCCTTGGCCCCAACCATGGGTCCATTTGGGTCCAATTGGGTCCATTGAGGGGCTCCGTTCCGTGCCGTGCCATTCGCGGGTCTGTCCGACTCGACCGGATTTACTCTAACGCAGAAACCTTTAGCTGCAGGGGCCAGTCCGTCACTTCAATTCAAGTCTGTTGGACTTACCTTGAGTAACTTGGGGGCCGGACAACAAGGCGGACAATCAGGGCCCACTATTGGTGCATTGAGGGGGCCGAAGTCAGAGACGAAGTCAGAGACCCCGGTAATCTGCACATCAGACAATGGAACATGGGAAGACAAGGTAAGATAGTAGGTAGGTGGACATTCTGCACGTTTCCCCCCCCCATCTTTTGCTTATCCCCCCCTCCTCCTCTCTCATCTCCTCTCTCTTTCTCTCCTCTTTGCATTTTGTGGTCTCTTCAACTTTTGGTAATTTCTGCGCCTTGGTCACCTTGGTCATTTTGGTCGTCTTGACCACCACGACCACCATGACCACTGCCTCGCTCAACCAGAGCGCCCAGAGCCAGACCCTGGGCGCCATCATCCCCTTTGCCGTCTTATCCATCATCGCCGTTGTCCTCCGTTTGCTGGCCAAATCTCTGACCCGGCTGCGATTTGGCCTGGATGACTATTTGATTATTGTGGGATTGGCTTGCTCGCTGGGTTGCTTCAGTCTTTCCACCATCAGTCGGTTGCCCTGTTGTCCACGATTACTCTGGATCCCTTGATGTGCTATGGATTACTGACAAGCAGGACATAGTGGTTGCATTGGGATCAGGTCGTCACCTGGCGGTCGTTCCCACAGGGAACATCCCCAAGTACCTCAAGGTTCGTTTATGCGCCTCTTCGCTCATTATCCTGCTCGTGTGCAGTGCAGTCACTCATCACCTATCGGGCGCATCCGCGTGTAGTGCATGTATGCGTACCAGATGATCTACACCGCGACCATCCTCTCCGTCAAACTGTCCATCCTCACCTACTACGTCCGCATCTTCCAAATCCGCCCCTTCCGCATCGCCGTCTATGTCGTCGGCACTCTGGTCGTCGCCTGGGCCGTCATTGTCTGGTTCATTTCCATTTTCTCCTGCCGGCCGCTGAACGGCTTCTGGGACAAGTCGGTGCCGGCCACCTGCGTCAGCAGCAAGGCATTCTACGTCGGAAACGCGGTTCCCAACATCTGCACCGATGTGATGATCTTGATCCTGCCCTTGCGAATGGTCTGGGGGCTGCAGACCACTCGCATCCAGAAGGTCACTCTGTCCGCTATCTTTCTCCTGGGTGGCTTGTGGGTTCCCTTCTCCCCGTCCCTCTGCTTTGATGTGGAACTTAATGCTAAAGAATCGGTCGACTAGTGTGGTGGTATGCAGTTGCATTCGACTATCGACGCAGTTCAAAGTCGATGACCCGGATTTCACCTGTAAGTCTAGTTCTGGTGGTAGCAAAGGGGTAAAAAACGAAACCAGAGGAAGGCATTCGCTTACGCACCATCTACAGGGGCCATGAACGGCACCGTGATCTGGACCTCGCTCGAGGTCTCCTTTGGCGTCATATCCGCCTGTCTGCCCACGATGCGTCCAATCGTCCGCTGGGCCATGCGAAGACTCGACATCTCGGACTCCGAGACCTCCAAATCGTCCCAGCGCTATTTTCCCTCCAACCACGTCACGACGCGTGGGTTCGAGACGCTGTCCGGGTCCGGAGGCGACGCCCAGACACATCAATTACACACCACCGCAGTGCGCAGTAATAGTCGGACGGAGAGCAATTTTGGCGAGGAGCTGTTGCTGGGGCAGATCCAGGTTAAAAATGAGGTCCGATTCGAGGCCGAGTCGGTATAGCGCCAGTGGAGTTGTAATGGTTATTCTGTATATTGTAGATATTTTGCATTATGTATAGGCGAAGGGCGTTCTGGTCTGCTTTCTCAATTGGCACCGCAGTCTGTTCACGCGTAAGCGGGATTTTAGACTATTCCGCCGGCGTTTCTGACGCCCTCAGCGGCTCTGTAGACCGTCCGCCCGGAGAGGCGTGTCAACCTGCATACTAGCTATATTAATGGCTCCCATTATACAATGCCAATTGGATAGGAGTGGGGCAGTAATTGTGGCTTTGAGCCGCCTGGTGAAAGCTGGCCCCTCTTCTGTTAGACCACGGCCTATAAATTGCTCAACACCCCCCCTCCCTCTCCCCTCGGTATTCTTTCGCAGTCAATCAATTACTCAATTATGCTCCTTCCTCACTCTGTTCCATTGTGATTTGTACATAGACTACCTTTTCTACTTCTGTTCCTCCCATGGCCCTCCCTGTATCCCACTACTTCTCCCAGCGATGGCACACCACCCCGCTGCCGCGCCTGATCGATGAACTCGCCGAACTATGTCCGAACCAGCCTATGGTCTCCCTACCGCGCAGCAAGGACCGGCCGGATGAAGGATACCGTGACTACAGCATTCAGGAGTTCTCTCGTGCGGTGAATCGCGCCGCTTGGTGGATTGAGCAGCACCTGGGACGCGCTCCGACCCGCTGGGCCACCCTGCATTATGTGGCTCCCCAAGACCTGTCGTACTTTATTATCACGTTGGCCGCAGTCAAAACAGGATATCAGGTAAGCTGACACAGACGCAGACGCATCTTTCTCGCTAGACCACCTCTTCGGAAATCCCTAACTATAACGGCCTACGCAGACCCTGACTTGTCACCCCAGCGCAGACGTCGATACGCATCTGTCGCTCATGGAGCACACTGACTGCCAGCTGCTGCTGTATCCCCCCAGCTCACACACGTCGGCGATGCAGAAAGTCAACGCCATTCGGGCCTTCAAGTCCGGACTGACGGCACTCGTCACCCCGACGCTGGAGGAGTGGCTGGCCACCGAGGGCGCCCCAACTCCCGTCTACGCCTTCACACCATCGTTAGCAGAAGTACTTCACGACCCCTTCACCGTCATCCACAGCTCGGCCTCGACGGGGCCCGCCAAGCCTATCGTCTTCACCCATGCCACTGTCTACCTGCAGCCGGTGGGATTCCAGAAGCTGCTGGATCCCAGTTTGGTCAACTACGAGCAGTGGCGCGGGAAGCGCGTCGGGGTGCTGACCCCCCTCTCCATTGCCGCGGGCCTGTTCCCCTTCCTAGGCATGAACTTCTGCTTCGATCTGACCTTGGTGCTGCCCGCCGTGACAACAGGGCCTGGTCCTTCCATGACCGCAACGCTGATGGACCAGGTCCTACAGCACGGTGACGTCTTTGCCTGTATTCTGGGACCCAAGACCCTGCCCGAGACGTGCGCCAACCCGGCCTACGCCGCCAACTTACGCCGCGTGCGCCAGCTCGCCATCGTCGGCGCTCCCTGCCCACCCTACCTGGCCTCCCAAATCACCGCGCACACCCAGATCACCCACATCTACGGCTCTTCCGAGTCTGGCACGCTGCCCGCCGAGGTGCTGCCCGACCCGGCCGACTGGGCCTATTTAAAGCTGAGCCCAGACGTGCCACATGAATACCGCCCCGTGTGCGGGCCCTACCACGAGCTGGTGCTGTTGCGACGTCCCGACGCGCCCGCCCAGCCCGTCTTTGCCATGTTCCGCGACTGTGACGAGTACCCCATGGGCGACCTGTTCGCCCAGCATCCCACGCAACCGGATTGCTGGCGCTACTGCGGCCGCCGCGCTGATCTCGTGGGCTCTCCGCCGCGTCGTTTCCTGCCCCGCGACATGGAGTGGGTGCTAGAGGCCCATCCCGCTGTTCGCTGGGCCCTAATTGCCGAGGAGCGCCACGGTGGCCTTGCCCTGCTGCTGGACCTCCACCCAGACGCGCAACGTGCGCTTCCGCTGAGCCAGGATATTTGGGACACTCTCCAGCCACTGCTCGACCAGGCCAACGCCCTGTGTCCCATCTCCGCTGCCCTCCGCCGAGATCTTGTCGTCTTCACCGACCCGCCCCGGCCCCTGCCACTCAGCGTCAAAGGGAACCCGCAGCGCGCCCGCTCCCTCGAGCTCTACCGGGCGGATATCGAGGCGGCGTTCGGTTCGGATGAGAGTCTTCACTAAGTGGTGCTCTCTCGGCACTCCTGCGACGCGTTGCTGCGTGACCGATCAAGGGTGCGGTATTAGGCCTTTCCATCCGCTCAGGAGTGCAGGCAATTGGCCAACGCGCCCTTGCGTATTGCTCCTTTGGGTGCCATAATGCAAAGTTGCAGAAGAGATACGGATGCCTTGGCGCTTCCCAATGATGATACGATTCAAGTACTTTAGACAAGAAAATGACAACATACTTCCAATACCACTCCATCTCTTAATTAAATGAACCCGAATGGCTATTTCCCGCATTTGACGGAACTCCTCTCCGCTCTCGTGGCGTAGGGCATTGCAGTTGAGGGTATCTGATCTACGTTCATCGTAGCTCTTCTCGTACCCCAACAACAATCTCATAGCATTTATTATTTCCGGCCTGGATTGGGGTAGCTTGAAAGTGATCTTGATCACCCGTCCACAAGCTTCTCTATAGGGCGACTATCTGATCCTAGTCTAAGCTGGGCTTCGTTCGAGCGGAATTCTGCCAGAATCGGACGTTCCATGAGTCTCTCTCTAGCTGCTACTCCTCAGAAGACCAAGGCATTGCCGTGCTCTTTGAAGAGACATCAAACACTATCAGCACAGCGCATATTCAAGGCGGAAGATATGCTTTAAGTTGGAACGTATCTTTATTGTTAATCTTGGCTACTATGGAACTGTTGAGTCCTACAGCGAACAACTCTCTTAGGCGATATGAGCAGACACTACAACATTTGCTAGCATTGGACACCATGATACTGTCCCCGACTCATCCAACAATCCACTTTCCTCCCTCCTCGATCTAGAAAGCTGGATTGGCGTTCGAGAGCAATTGCACGAAGTAGGCCTACCACCACCCCCTCTGTTAGTCCACTACAGCCAATCGAGACGTTTAAAACATAGGAATCATACCTGGAACCAGGTCCCCGCCTCCGGCGCCGGCTGCAAGGCGTCACTGTACCCACAGTGGGCGTCGTAGCGGGTCGCCGAGCTATCGGAGGTGCCGTCGCTCTCACCGCCAGGCTTGACCCAGACGAAGGCGTCGACGAGCGCATCGCCCGTGCTGGTGGTCGGGCGCACGCCAAACCCGGTGTTGATGACGTTGCACCAGTCGCCCCAGGCCTGTTGGCCGGTAGGCTGTTTGCCGTTGCGGCCTGGTTTTAATATCTGTTAGCATTGCCAGTGGGGGTGTGGGGGGGTGGGTGAGGCATACCGGTGTCGACGATGAAGTGGGCATTGAAGCCCTGCGCTGACAAGAGCGGGGCGATCGCGTTGATGTACTGCTGCTCGTCGCAGACGCTGTTGCCCTGGGTGTAGGACGGGCAGGAAGAGATGGTGAAGGCGTTGTAGTTGGCGACGTTCGTGGCCAGGCCGCGCACTGCGGCCGGGGAGCTAGCGTTCTTGTACACGCTCGCGTACAGGTTGGCGGCCGGTTGCTGGTTGGCGGGCCAGCCGAGCCAGCCGGCGTGTCCTGTGTTTCTTGGTCAGAGTTCTGTTGAGGCGATGTATTGAGAGGGCGTTCTTAGGGAAGTTGAAGTTGGAAGAAAAGGGGGGTCTGGGGGTTCTCCCCCAGGATGTTTTCGGAGGCGGCAACTTACCGGCATCAAGATACATGGCCACGTTGGGGAGGTTCAGCTGCTCTAAGGCATAGTTGGTGCATTCGAGGTAGGCGCTCTGAGCGTTGGCACACTTGGCTACATTGAGGTTGGTCACCAGGTTGGCGAGACTGTCGGGCTCGATCACCAAAATGGTGTGCACATCGGAATACTGCACTAGGACCTTGCGGATGGAGTCGATGTAGGCCTTGTAGTTGGCCACACCGTTGTCGGCGATGGAGTACTCACCGTTGCTGGCCAGCGCGGCGCAGTCGCGGTCAGGGAGGTCGTAGACCACAAACTGGCCGGCGATGGGGGGGTTGGCCCCCGCTGCATTCTGGGCTTTGATGTCGGCCAGGTAGGTGGCCATTGTCGGTACCTTGGCGGCCACGTCCAGCCAGACGAAAGAGGGCACCTTGGCTGCGGCTGTGGCTGCAGCTTGGAGCGAGGAAAGTGTCCCTGTGAGGGATGGGATGGCCAGCGACGCCACTTCGGAGGAGTAGTACGGGTTCACGTAGAGCTGGTACCCACTGAACGGGTTGCCGCTCGCGCTGGCCGTGGTAGTAGCAGTGGTCGTCGAGACGGTCCCGGTAGAGGATTTAGTTGTAGACGTCTGAGAGGCAGAGGTCTTGGTAGTAGTCGTCGTCGCCCCAGCAGTGGTCGTAGTTGTCTTCAAGGTGGTGGAAGTGGCGCTTCCTGCTGCTGGCGTACACTGAGCGTAGTCTACAGGCCATGGTTATTTGGATGTCAAACATGCAGATTCATAAAATACTTACATTGATTCACAGTTGAGCATGTTGCTCCCGCCACACAACTAGTGAGTCCGGAGTAGCCCTGACCACCACATTGTCCATAGAGGGTTTGCTGAGCCTGGATTGCGCATGGCAGCAGCGCCGCTGCGACAGACAGTGCGTAACGCATTTTGACACGAGGCACGAGAATACTAAACAGTAAACAGTGGTCGGAAAGAGAAAGGACGAACTCTGCTGGACTCTTCTCGATATCTTTTACAGTCAACGGAGACGAGCAGGACTTTATATGCCGCCTTCAGAGGCTCACGGATGGACTGCCGCGCTGCCCTGGGACGCCGCGCCGTCTTCCGTGTTCATTCCAACTCTTGGTCGTGGAGGATGAGGCCGGCCGGAGTCATAGGGAAATGGAGATGGATGGATGCTTACCCGAGGAAGCCCTACTCCGTTCTGGATCGGGATAGAGGTCCTGTCGGCAATCTATTCCCTGTCCCAATCACTCCTGCAGTGCAAGTATGCCCCGAAGGCCAAGCCAGAAGAACTAAGCCAACCATCAGACACCATCGGTGGGTGGCGCTGAAACAACCCCAAATCGGCGCGGAGAGCACGCAGAGGAATCACGGGTGCCTGAAGAAAGCTGCGTGCAACCCCACATTTCGGCAGTTGCAAGGGACGGAATACGCAGGGTCTGTGGGGATTAGCCCGACGGGGTGACGGCCCGTTCTGCCTGTATTCTCTGTATTTCCTATAGTCTCGTTACCTGCATGCAGGTACAGTAGCCGGCATAGATTCGATTTAGCCGGAATTGCGCGGTAAAAGAGCTCGGGCCAAGAACTGGTCCACGGGCGGTGGTACTTAATTTCATCCCTGGTCTTACCGACTCGCTTGGACCTTTTGTTATATGCTCGACAAATTCCTTCGGGTTTATGAACAGGCTTGGCCTATGCTCGCGGCTTCTGACTGTCGCATTTTGGCTTATCCGAAGCGGTAGCCCCTAGTTAGCCCTAAGCAGCTCTCTCAGTAAGCTAGTGATTCCCACTTTATAGTGTAATCATCCGGCAAATTCCATACAACGGTTAGGATACAAATCTTCCAAGATATAGCGATCGTAGAACAAGTCAAAAATCAATGGGGGCAGTATTCGCCTGTCATGTCACTGGCCGACCGCATTCACTGACGCTTCTTGCAAGTATGCGAGACATGGGCGTCTCTTAGACCAAGCTCTAGCACTGTACCCTAGGCTGAACCCTACAGCTGTCCTAACGATACGCCCTTGTCTTTGTGCTCAGTAAGAGGGAAAGTCGGAAAGAACTACTAGTCATTATCCCATTATACCATTCTATGTATTATGCTTGGGTGCTCGCCAGTAGCTCGAGTAGTCCGTGCAGCTCGCACTTTGGCGTTCTTGATGGCCAATACAGTTGAAGCGAGCAGGACGTGTCTCATCGCACAAAATTGCTTAGTTAGTATTGTAGTAATGAATGTACAACCTGTAACCAGGCTGGCGTACGTTAACGCGGCGACGCCTGCACTGAAGGCAGCCATTGCGGCACTGCCGATGGAAGCGCTTAACAGGCATGCTGTGGTAGAACAGGTACAGTACGGAGAAGAAGAGACAATTCAGCCAAAATACCGGAGGATCCCGTCTCGGACATATGATCTTACGATGTGTACTGTACGGTATGTATTTGTCTGTCTCCAGGCTCCTGGCCATTGCATATCGGTATACTTTCAACTACCTTCAATGGTGTCGAAACCGAAAACAGGTCCTCTCTGAGGCACCTGGAACTTACTAAGTACAGTTCCTACTAACTATAAGTGATCTGGTGCCCATGTACATATATGGATCGAACCAATCAGAAGGCGTGCCGCCACGGCCCTTCAACGATACAAAAGGCGCACAATAAACGATAAACAAGGAACGGGGAACGAATCTTAACCCCGATTGACTTCGCCAACTTCACGATCATGCTTCCATTTTTAGTGACAGGATCTATTGCAAGACGAAAGCTCTGCAACGGTCTGCATCGCGTCTGTATTGAATAACGAGTGCCAGGATGAATTGGGGACGTTGACGACTGCGAGGCAGTACGTTGCCTCCACAGCCGACCTCCTCTGTCCATATACAAGATAGGCAACGTTGCATTTCGCTACAGGAGCTGCTCATGCATAGAATTATATTACTGATTCAGAGTAAAAAGGTGGAGGAATCGGAGGAGCTGATATCCACCCGAGAGATGCGCGGAGCCAGGACTATTCCTCCCACGAATAGCTTAGCCAACTCGCCCACAGGAGGCCTAAACCGAGAGATGTCCGCGCCTATATAGAGGTGCTATCGCACCCTCAAAGCTCCAGGCTGAACAGACCTAATTCTTTGACTCTGTCATCTACCTGTCTTTACTCCTCTCTTCGTTCCATTTGCTTACCATGAGGTCTTTCTGGTCCGACCTGGCGTTTGCTGCCGCGGCGCAGCTCGGGTTGCACCCTCACTGCACTCGCGACGATCATATGAGTCGTCAAATTGCACAGACCCAGCTTGTGCAGTTTAGAGTGAAAACAAAAACATACAACAGAAGGGATTCGCTGGTGGTCACCCACCCAACTACTAACCTCCCGGCGTGTGGCTTAAGTACGGCTGAGCGGACGGGAAGCCCTGTTTTCCACACCCTGTGGTCGTATGTGCTTGAACAATGCATGGAAGAGAATAAGTGCTACAATAAGAAATGAAAAGCAAAAAAAGTCTAAGTAAGAGCATACCAATACCATTCTTGTTGTTGCTCACAACATTAGAATAGTGACATCGTCCCGCTTGGCACCCAGGCAGATTAACACTGGTAGGATTTGGTATACATATATATGCCTCGCAATGAGTTCATACTTGGCCTAATGAGAGGTATAGGGTCAATTCTATTTTCTGTCTGCCTCAGGGATTCAAGGAGGGGTCGCGTATTGTAATGTGTGAGTTGTTATTAGAAGACCCAGACAACCCTTGCTGCGTGGTGTAAAGCATCCAGGGATCTGCCTCATCATGTCTCAATGCGTATGGTCTACTGATCTCGCCGGAAGGTACACACTTCTGGCCATTATATAGCATTAACTTTGTAGATCACAGTTCCATCATAGAAACAAAACCGCGGCATCAATACAACCATAGCACCACCTAGGTCTCCAGCACATCCCCGACCAGGAGAAAGTCCTTAGGGGCTTTAATTCCGATCTCCTCGTTGAAGTCGATGGAGTTCCCGCCGGGGGTCAACAGGTTGGTGGCGCGCAGGATGCCCAAGCCCACGCTGTTGAGGGTGACGTTGGGCGACTGGGTCCACAGCCCGGCCATGCCGCGCTCCCAGGTGAGAAAGTCGATTTCACTCTTGTGGTCCTTGCCCTGATCCATGCGGAAGACCTTGGTGTTCAGCTGCATGTCTAGGCCAAAAGACTCGTCGTCGAGCCGGATCTTGCAGTCGAGCCTGCGCGGTTGGTTGTGATCGCGCTCATCGCACAACCGGAATTTGGCCTTGATCACGCCGCTGCCCAAGGGCACGATGCCGGTGTGGGCCTTCCAGTCCACGTCTTGGTCGATCGTCCAGTGGGCGTACACCTGTGGACTCCCCTTGGGCTCGTCTTGCCGGATGGTCAGGGTCAAGGGCCACTTCTCGAGCTCCAGGGTAAAGCCGTCCACGTGGAACTTGGAATTTCTGTCGTAATCATAGTTCTGCTCCGGGACCGTCCACGGCTTCTTCAGGGTGGCGGATATCCTGTTCTCGGCTTCGTTGGTTGGGGACATGTTCGTAGCCTCCCAGCCCTGGCCCTTGAACGCCTGCTGGAACAAGACCCGGTGCAGCATGTTCGAGGAGAGGAGGAGGCTGGCCGTGAAACGCTTTGGGATGGGCTGGATCCCATTGTCCTCCCACTGGTTCTGCCAGTGGGATTGGAGCCCCTGTGTGCGTCCCGTGGCGAACCCGCCCTTGACCTGGATGAAGAGAGACAGGATGCCCCGCTCGTGGTCCTTGAAGGTGGCGAACTGGAACTTGACCGGCTGCAGGTTCGGACTGTCGTCGCGTTTGACGTTGTTCAAGCTCGCGATCGAGTAGCTCAGAGCATGGACGTCGTCCTGAAAATATTTGTTGACATACTTCTCGAAGCGAGGGAGATCCAGCGCCTTCATCATCGGCGAGGGCTCGCCGGTGGCCGGTGGCACGAGAGTGAGTTTGTAAGAGGTGTTGGCCAGCTGAAAGCCCAGGACCACGTGCTGCGTCTCTTTCTCCGTCATGGAGAAGTGGACGGGCCTGTCGCTGGAGATGATATCGGAGTGCACTGCGGCCCCCTCTTCCGAGATGCGCCCTCGAACGCTGGCCAAGGGGATGTCGTGCAGCCTCAACTTCCAGCCCGGGGGCATGGGCCTGACGGGGTTTCGCTTCCGAGTCGGCACTGTCTGCGCGCCTTCGACAATCTCCATCTCGAGCGTGCACATAGGCTGCCCGAGGGAGTGGGCATCAAATTGCACGAGCGGGGGCCCGAACCGGAGGTCGTACGTGATGTCAAAGTACTCCTCCGTCTGGATGTCTTCCTCCTGGTACGTGAAACTCAGGGTTTGGAGCATTCCAGTGTTTGATTGCCGATGGCGCACTTGGAGCAAGTCGTTGATCTGCTTTTCTGAATATGAGGCGACCACATCCCATCCCATGGTGAAGGACAAGCCGTCGGGTTTAACTTTGGGCTTCATCATCCTGTCCACCATTTCGGCCACAGAGGCCTTCATCTCCGGCGTAGCAGTGGTGTACCCAAGGGACATGATGAATACTGGGGTTGCACGCGGGAGTTTGTGATGAGAGGGAAGCAAGTAAAGAGGCAATGAGGTGGTGGAATGGGCGAACGGGAGATGGAGCGAGGATTGGAGCCCCAACCCGTGTGGTACTTATACTGGAAGCTCTGTCGTACGACGTGACATACTGGACCATGAGGACTGGACACATTCCGTGTGGTTCGCCACTTTGCCATCCTCAGCCGCAGGCTGGAAGGCATGAGGCTTGCTTGAAGAGGCTGTGCACCTTCCACTCCGTTCTTCGGAGTCAAAGTCTGGCCATTCAGCTGTCAGCTAGCCTCTCGAGATTGTGGAAATGGGGGTGTCTATGGCTCGGAATTGCGTGTCATTCAGCTATCCACAAGAGGGGCAGGAGTGCATCCAGCTACGCAAATTGAAGCGACGAACTGTGATTGGCCTTGTCCATCGACTCGAAAGGAATAGGCCGAGCTGAGCGCCTTCTTGCGATACTAGATGTGGCTAGTTTGGCTGTGCATCAGCCCTTATCGCCGACTCCACTCAGCGCAGCCTCGGCTAGACCGTCCGATAACGCCGCCACTGGAGGGAGTTCGCGCGTTCTAGACTCGCCCTCTCGCGGTATATAGCAACAGGCACCAGGTAGGCTATAGGTGGGGGCAGCTTCGGCCAAATTGGACATATGGCTCGCGCGGAGAACCATGAACAAAGAAATGGACTTCATCGAGATCGGCGGAGTGCCCGTGAGACAGGCCCAGTCAGTCAATCCACCGGCAGAAAAGCCACCGACACATCAGGACAACGATGGCGAAGACGACGACGATGATGATACCCCTGCTGCATGGGTGTTGCAAGTTGAAACCGACCCGGTCACCAATAGACCTTCCTATTATTACCTCCTCAGCAACCCGGACAAGGCCGACCAGAATGTGGCGATACTCACCAAAGATTCCTGCTTTAAGCCCGGGATCTTCACGCACAATATAAAGCAGCCCGTGCCCAAAGATCCAGAGCTAGTTGAGGAGAGAAAGGAACCGGAGAAAGCGCGACGAAAGGCATCTAAGAAGACAAATTCCGAGAAAGACTCTGGAAAGTTTCTCCAAAAGCCCTCCAACAGGACACCCACCAGCCCGAAGGTCGGGCCATGTTTCATTCAAGCTCGATGGTTTGTCGGGCAGAAGAAGAATGGGGGACTTTCTGAGTTAAGTTTAACCAGCTCGTTGACGGTGGACATGAATCCGGTGACGGCAACCGCTTCATCCCGGGATGCTTTGATTGAAGAGGTAAACGCATTTGATCCGAGCAATTATGAGTGGGAAGAGCATTCCGAATTTTTCACCGAGCGATGGGGTGAGGTGGCTGATAAGACAGCGGTCGAGGGGCTGGAGAATCCGCCTGTGAAAGGGTTTTGGATGCCAACCCCGGAGTTGGAGCAACTCCCCGGCACTGAGCGCTACATTCGCATCAAGCGGGATGACATCGGACTTATGCGCGATACCAGTGGATCCAACACGACCGATACCTACGATCAGATCTACATCTCCAAGAGGCTCGTCGAGGAATGGATGGAGAATCAGAAAGTGGTGGGAAAGTTCGCTATGCCGACGACGGCTAACCCGCTCCGATTCTGGGTCCGCAACGCCACGGGACGCCCGCTATACTTCGTCCTTAGTAGAGAGGACGGTGCGAACGCGAACCTGTGGAAACAGCGCTACGCGAGGGCCATCAGTAGCCCCGGCGGCGGGCATGGACGCAGCCTGAATGTCAACATTCCCGTCTACATTAAGCCGATCTCCGGGCAATATAAAACGCTCGTGCAAGACGCCGTAAACTATGCGAATCAGAAGATGGTGACCTCTAAGAGCGCGACAAGAAAGCAGGAGGAGGGGAAGGCCGTGCTCATGACCGCTGAGCATGAGGGCCTACGATACGTTCAGGTAGGGAGCCTACTGACCACCTGGGAATTGCCGACTGACTGCTGGGGCAGATTGGGATCTCTCCCTTCGGCCACTATACGACATGGATTACTGCCAGCGACGGGGCCAAGTGGCAAGAGAAGCGGCCTGCGCATCCCGACAACATCTCAGCAGACCGCATAGCGTCTCTACAATCGAGTGTCGAAACCAAGGACGGGAGAGCAAAGAAACTCAAAGCTGCCAGGGCGACCAATCCTTCATACACGGTCACGGTCAGTGCACAGAGGATCATGGCGGCCAAGGGCGTGCGAGACAGCGGGCCGGACCAGGGCACAGTCATGGGCATCAGTGCCCCTACCGTACGCGTACCCGTGAGCCTAAGCCTAGACCTTTTCTAATATTTCGTCTTAGGTTGCCGCCTCCTGTATGAGTTGGGAGAATGAAGACCATATTGATGCAAGCTGGCCGGATTCAGCTCCGTGGATGGCCGAGGTGAGTTGAATCTCGATGCATCTCGACATGAACGATGAATGTAACGATTGACCGTGCATAGTGGCTCCACCGGTGTGCGTACTCCTGGGGGGCGTACGGCCGAGTGCCAGCGGACTCCCAGTCCCCACAGAACCTCATCTTTGGAACCTATGAATGCAATTCACTCATGACGCGGTAAGCGGAGCTAGCAGAGTTGGAACCCGCATGGTGTGTTTGATATGCATGCTAACATCTCAGATATGAACATGCCTGGCAGAAGCTCGTGATCATGCTGGAGACGTCGATTACGCAACCGACCCATCACACCCAGCTGAAAAATCAGATCTTTTGGAACGCGGAGGACGACAAGGAGGTGCAATGGCCGTCGCAGTGGCAGGGGGCCCGCTGGCTGTGTAGGCGACTGGAATATACCCTGAAGCTCAACATCCCAAACCCTGATCTGCCCCCAAGTATCACTGTCAACTTCTATCCGCTGCGGAGGTCCTTCTTTACTCGCGTGGAGGCAAAGATAGATACCTACATCATGGGATGGATAGGTGAAAAGCTCAAGGTGGAGGTGAAAGATTCAAAGTGGATCACGGTCATTCCAACTCTGCCTCAAGAGGTCAAGAAGACACCCCTAAAGGAACCTGGGCCTCAGCCGACAAAGTTTGCTACAGCTGATGGTAAGGCACGACAACAGCACAGCCTTGCGCCGCATAACTTCGATATAGGACTCATCAACGTTCTGGATCTCAACAGGGACGGCGATAGGGACGATGGGCCATTCCTTGTGAGTGGGAGAGCCAACTCCAGCATGGTCGAAGAAGAAGAGCTCATTCAGAATACGTCCCAAAAATCAAAGCGAAGGGACGAACGTTCTTTGAGATCCTGCCCACCGACAGAGAACAGGTTTGACCAACCGTCCCTAGGCCAGTCACTCCAGGATGTGGATGAGGCAGAGGGCCTTCATGTCGCTCAGGGTCAGAACTTCCTAACCGCGAAACAAGCCTCTCTACCCCAGTCAACAATGTCTATAGGCAGAGCAAAAGAGTGTGTTACTGCCCCCGGAAATGGCGCCACTGTTGCCCACCGGAAAGTCTCTCCACCCAGACCAACTGTCTTGACCATGGATGAGTTCATTTTCAAGGAAACAACCAATCTCTTCGGTCGCATCTCAGTGGATGTGTACGCCCTGGAATCTGACACCATGTCCTATCTGGCCATCCGAGTCCCCCACCTGAACAACTTCCTCGGCCTGATCCCATCCCTTGCCGGCTCGTCCTTTGAAGCAATCCAGCTCGAGGACACAACCTTGAGCTACCGTGCTGTCAAGAATCAGAGCCCCAGTGTGACCGCCGAGCTGGCCGTAACGACCACCGTGCTCATGGCTGGCGTGCTCAGTCCCATCAACACCTTTCTGCGCGACGTTCTCCACCAGAACCGGCCTCGCCTGGTGGTTTCCGGCATGCTCAGCAGCCACCCTGACTGTCTGCGGCAAGTGCCGGAGCCCCTCGGGCTTAAGCTTCGAGCGGAGTTGCCCGATGTCTCAGTATGTCTGTTTAACGTGCTGACCATCACGCATCTTGGAATCGATTTGATGGGCACGCGCCGAAGTGCACAAGGGGACTATGATTTTAGCTACGGCTTCTTCGGGGTTGGGTGTGTTTCGTCGGATGTCAATGTCTCATGGTATATCCACAAGTATCACGACCTGTACAACATTACCATTCTGGTCGAGTCGTCTTGGGAGGTGCTCCCCAATCTGTCCGTATGTGATGACACCCCCCTATTCCACCTGCAGTTTGAGCTTGGCTGACTGAACAGTTGGAATCCGTGGAGCTGGGGGCCTCGTGGGAAGGGACCGACCTCTCCTCAGTGAGCCTGAGTCTGACGGGCTCCTTCGGCCTGCGTGAGGGCACTGTCGTGCTTGCCGGGAGATATAGTAGAGGTATGGGGAATGCACCCGCACTAGGCCCAGATGCCGAGTTATACTGACGGTCTAGACGATGTGGAATTGTGTGGAACACTGCAGGACTGTAGCCTGGACACTCTCCAGCAGCTGTGCGAGGACGTGTTCCACACCGCTATCCAAACCCAGACCACCCACGAGGTCTATTTCTCAGATATGTCACTGGTTGTCTCGACCAAAGAGGGCTTTTCAATGACGGGGACTGTCACTGTCGACGGTCATCTGTCGTCTGTCGCTCTTATTCATCTGGGCCCTAAAGGGGTCAGGATTACGGGGGCGATCGACAATCTCGATATCCCAGATATGCCGACTATCCATTCGGCCAGCCTGGACCTGTCCATCACCCAGAGGGACTTCAAGGTCCGGTTCACCGGCATGGTCACCGTCCAGGAACAGCAACATTTTACCGTCAGCGTCCTCCTTGCCCGATCCCCTCGGGGACTGGAATACACAGTTCATGGAGGCTTTAAGGGTAGTTTCTACCTTCGCAATGCCATTCCAAGGGTTGAAGGAACATTCCTAGACGTACAACTGACCCAACTGGCCATCTGTGCCAGCAATATCGATAGCCCTGAGCTCAGGATTCCAGATCTTCCATATCAGATCAAGAAAGGTGAGACTAAGCTGAACGATATAGCTGGATAGAACAGGCACTCACAAACCACTTAGGCTTTCAAATCTATGGCCAGACAAGAATGCACACGGAGCTTCTCCGGCTCCCGGCCGCGATCACGGTCTGTGCCGCCTATGGAGCAACTGACTGGCTCATCACCGGCTCTTATGCAGGACGTGTTTCCCTCCTCGAGACCGTCTCGGGACTGTCAACAGCGCTCAAGGAATGTGGCTTGACGACCATCAGCAAAGCAATCGACATCTCCGTCTGGGAGTTGACTATCTCTCTAGCCCGGAATCAAAAGACAAACGCTGCGTCTGTGTTCTTCACGGCCGACACCGACTGGCTCATCTTCAAGCATATTCGCCTCGCCGCGTCCACCAATAGTTTCACCCTCGGGCTCGTCTGCCAGGACGACATCCTGTCGCTGACTCCGCTAAAGGACAGTCTCGCCCCGTATCTCAAGCTGACCAACACCCAAGCGGTCGTGTTTCTCGGGGCCATCGATCCCGCCGCATTTCCCCCCTTGCAGTCTCTCGCAAGCCCGCACTTGGCCCAGCGCCGCAATGGGTTCGCTGTCAGCTCCACTATCCGGCTCGATACCTCGGCGTTACGACTAATCAAAGACCTGCTGCAGGTGGAGGAGCTCACCGTTGCTGGCATGATGTCCGACACGGAGTTCATGCTTGCCGTGGGGTTGAAGGCGGTCCACCTCTTCCACGACAGCATCATCATGAATGGCTCCTTCGTCGTCGAGTCCCGCCCCGGGGCCGGGTTGTTCATCGGCTTCCAGGCGCATTTCTCGCTCTTCTTTCCCTCGGTGAGCAAGTCTGCGGTACGAGTGGAAGCCGCCATGGGGCTTAACCTCGACAATTACGGGATGCAGCTGCGACTGGCGGTGCCCAGCACTTTGCCCGACTTATTTGGTATCGAGGGACTGGAAATGGCCAGCATTGCAGTCGAGGCGACGTTCAATCCGGCGCAGGGGCCGGTGCCCACACAAATCGGCTTCAGCGGGGCGTTTCGACTCGCTTCCGTTAATGATCTCCGAAGCAGGTCGGTATCCCTGGGCCTGTCTCTCTGCCTTCTTCTTGAACTCCCTTGACTGATAACCCCCTAGTGCCAACATCCGCTTCTCCGAAGGCAACCCTGCCAATTCCTATCTCAAGGGCTCCATTGACCGACTCAATGTCCCTCAATTGATGCATGCCTTCGCAAGGGGCATTTCAAGACCCGCGGTGGTGGACAGTCTCGTCTCCAACGATGGCCTCGACCTGCGCCGCATTGCCGTCGAGATCGTGCCGCGCGATATGGTGGGTGTCGATGGCTCGCCGCTCAAACAGCGAATCTACTTCGAAGCCGACATGAGTCTGAGTATGATGGCATTTGCCCCCCTTAAGCTGCAATCTCGGACGTGGACGCGTACTAACTTAGATAGACGTCTCGGAACACGCCATCTGGTCGGCGTACGCATTCATCGACATCTCCCCGTCCTCGTTCTACATCCTTGCCCTGATGTCGCCGGTCATCCTCTGCCCGGACGTCCCGGCGTTGTTCCGCATCACGCGCAACAATATCGGGTACAGCGAGAAAGCCGCGAACCCCGTCATCCCGACCCCGACCCAGGGCCACATTGATCCCGCGATGCTGACCGACGGGCCCATCATGGTGATTGCGACCGACAGCCAGATCGACCCCCCGGCCTTCATCTCCGGCGATTTGGAGGTCTTCGGCATCCGCCGGGCGATCTACACCAGGGTCGACCGCGACGGCTTCACCGTCCACCTGAATCAGCAGACGGCTCCAGGCCCCGTGGGCTATCGCTTCAACCTCCGCGCCGAGTGCGCGTTTAACTCCTCCCTCACTCTCGATCTGCACATCGACCTGAACGTCTTTCCCACCCCTGTTAGCGCGGTCATCCACGACCAGCTCATCGACGTCCACCTCGGGCAGGGCCAGATCCATCTCAATCTGGCCACCTCGTGGACGCCCCAGGACCCCTACTTTGCCGGCGACCTGGAGGCCACCGCGCGTGTGCTGGGCGTAGAGGTGAAGCTGCACCCCTTCCGGGTGCGGCTGTCCGCCCACGAACTGAGCAGCCTCGAGGAGATCGCCCGCTTCGTGGTGTATCAGTTCCAACGCCGCGGGCTGGCGCTCTTCCAGGAGGCGCTGGGCAACAAGACGCTCGAGGCAGTCATGAATTTCGTCCGCGAGGTGTTTGGGAAGCTCGTCGCGGACGATTCGGTGTTTATCCGGGCGGTCACCCAAATCGCCGGCCGATTCAATGAAAGCCAGGTGATGAAGGCCCTTCTAAACGTCCGCCGGGGCACCCGCGAGGATGCCATCGCCATGGTCAAACAGTTGGGGTTGCCGGAGAGCGAGGCGGCGCTGCTGCTGGGCCAGGTGCTGTCGACGGCGGAAGATCTCGCGCAAAATGTTCTCGTGGCGTTGCTCAGGGATTAAATATCCGGTTCGAAGGTCGACCAGACTGATCCAAATCGTAGTGGATAGATAACCTTAGCGTATCCAGTATACGATAATCCGGTAAAGCTACAATCCCGCGATGCTGCCCCCAAGTGGCACCATGTATCTGAAGCCAGTGCCTGACTATGACACGTATCAAGATTTTACAATTCCACAGCGAGGGGTCACAATTCGTCCTCCAAATTCACAGGAGATATATTAGAGGGATGTATAGTAGAATATATGAATGGAACACAACAACGCAGAAAGAACCGGACACAAGGCAGCGCAAGGAAGCGAACATGATAGGCATCGGTGCCACGTGACACACGGTCAACTGCGAGGTCTGTACTCGAGCACCAAGCTAATAAGGGAATCTTGAAAAGAGCAGTGAGATCGAGCAAAGAGAATTTGCGCCAGCCCAAGGTGTGTAGACATGAGGTAAAGTGAACAGACATAGGAAATCAAGGTGTCGGGCTGGACATGGCAGCGTTGTTACTTGTTAATACATGAGATTAGTGAAAAGAGAGAAACCGAATGGGGACTTGAAATCACGGCCGCGCGTGGTCGAGGAGGAACTGCGTAGCCTCGGACCAGCCGGAAGCATCAGCCATCTCCAACACCGTCCGGCCGGCGTCATCGTGCTGTGTGAGATCAGCGCCGCCGCCCTTCTGAACCAAGAGGTGCAACAAGTGCAGGTCCCGGTACTCGATCGCCTGCATGATCGCGTTCCAATCCCGGTAAGTCTTGTTGGGATCGGCGCCTTTCTCAAGAAGAAGTTCGACCATAGAATAGTCGCCGTTGATGACACGACGAACCGCTTTGACGAGGGGAAGATGTTCACCGGGGGCATTGGGGTCGGCGCCGCCCTCTTCCAACAGAAAGCGCACAATGTCCACGTACCGCTCACGCAGCGCGGTCGTCAGCGGCGAGAAGACGCCACCGTTCTTGTACTCGACACTGGCCCCCGCAGCCAACAGCAGCTTGATGCTCTCTAGCTGGTTGGCCAGGACCGCCATCTCCATGACGCCCTTGTGGGCGGACAGATCAGGAACCATCGGGAGCAGACGCTGCAGCAGAGCGGGCGAACGCACCGCCATACACACCGGCCAATCTTGACCTCGCTGATTGGGATCAGCCCCGTGGGCGAGCAGACAGCTCAGCATCTCGGACCGGTTCTCCCGGATGGCGGTGGTCAGGGCTGTATGTCCTTGGGCATTGCGATCGTTGACATTCGCCGCTCCCTGCTCAACCAGCCACTGCAGTGCTTCTGGGTTGTTGACTTGGACGGCCATCTCTACAATCCCCGGCGGTTGATGGAGATCAGCACCGGCAGCCAGCAAGGCTGGGAGGTAATGAGGACGATTATGAGTGATACACTTCCAGGCCGGATACTCGGACGCCATAACGTTTGCGTCGGCACCATGTTCCAGCAGTAAGCTGACAATGTCGGACCGATCGTCGCGGATGGCTGAGCAGAGTGGCGTGTAGATACCATCCTTCTTGGCGTTGGGATCGACCCCTACCTGTAGCAGGATGCGGACAGCTTCGATGTTATTGATGCTGGTAGCCTGCTCCATGAGGCCGGGAGTCTTCTTGATATCGGCTCCGCCAGCAAGCAACACCCGCAGGCAGGCAGGACGATAAATGGCCAGCCAGAGGACATGCTCAGGGCCAGGCAAGTTCGGATTTGCCCCATGTTCCAGCAAGGCTGTCACCATGTTGACCTGCTCGCTCTGCACCGCTTCATTGAGGGCTGTCTTTCCCTGGCGGCCCTTGCGGTTGGGGTCGCAGCCAGCCTCCAATAACAGGCTCACGAGCTGGGGTGGCGCACGGTGATGGATCAGCTCGATCAGCGCTGTGCTGCCGTCGGGGGTCGCGTTATCCGGGTTCCCTCCATGCGCGAGCAGCTGCTGCACCATGCTGATTTTGCCGTTTGCGATCGCGCGGCTCAGCGGCGAGTCCAGCCCCGACTCCGGGGCGTAGTTGGCATCAGCGCGGTATTTCAACAACAAGGTCGCGCCATCCACAAAGGACTCCTCCACCGCCACGAGCAATGGCGTCTTACCCTCCCGATCAGGTGCGTTGGGATTTGCCCCGAAAAGCAGGAGCAGCCGCATCCCCTCAAAGTCCCGCTGATGCACGGCCTCGTTCAGCGGATGAATCTGTTCTCCCAAGTTGGGTGATACGCCACTGTCCAGGAGCTGCTCCAGTAATTTGTGGTTACGGCCCCGGACGGCGGAGGCCAGAGCGCTGCGTAGCTGGGTGGCACTGGCTGCGCTGGTCCGGCTGGGCGTGCGATGCGGCGGTCGGGGGGACGAATTGTACGCCCGGGTCTGCGTAAGGATCTCTCCATATGTATCGCCCTCAGGGGCCATCAAAGTCTCGGCACGCGACTCCCGCGAGCTCGTCCGAAGGGGTGGACTGTCTGGTCGTGGCAATCGTGGCAAGGGCTCGAGCGGCGGCGACGGGGGCAAATCGCGATCGTGGTGGTTCGAGAGGAGGAGGGAATCGAGGGAGAGGACGGAGGACAGTGTATCATCGGGATTGGATTGGGGTGGACTGTTGATGCCAGTCGCGGGTTGGACGAGTGGCTCTTTCGGAGGCACCGAGGGCACGGGAGATGAAGGCACCGAGGTCATTTGGGTGGCTACGCGTTCCAGGGACTTGGCCTTGTTGATGCCCATCACCGACCGACCTTTAGCCATGCGGTCAAGTGCCGCCGCCAGCCCCGCGTACCCAATGCCCACCGTTTCGGCCACCAAGGGCTGTTCCCCGAGAGTCCAGTGGAAGGCCAGGACGCTGATCTGAAGGGTTTCGGTCGTCTTCTGGAGGGACTCACGGATGCGGCCGAGTTCGTGGCTGGGGCGGTGCCACCCTCGCTGGAGCCTCCCCAGGGCGCCACGATGTTCGTATTGGATCAGTTTGGTGACAAGCTTGTCGAGATGCTGGAAATCGCGATAGGCGGCGACGAACTTCTTCGCCACCTCCTCCACGATGACCTCGGGTAGGGGGCGGTTGGCGGCGGTGGAATCGGTGAGGCCCGCGTCAATAGCCCAGAGGGCGCGACAAGTGTCGAGAAAGGTCTGCGACAACTCACGAAATCCGTCGGGCAAGTCTTGGACGGTGCTCAGGTAGTCCAGCATGTGCACTGAGATGCGGTTCCCCAGCTGGGTGGCCTGGGCCGAGACGGCGAAGACGGCCTCCTGAGCAGCCATGAGCGTGAGAGCGATGTCGCAGGCGGGGAAGAGAGCAGAAAGAAATCACCGGAGTCGAGAGGGGAGTCGCCGACCGGTTTTATTTGGGGCGGGCTCAAGGCCAGTCCACGAGCGGATCGCAGGCTGGAGGATCATCGTGGGGGAGGGGACCAACCATGTGGCGGATGCAGCTGGCGACTTCATTTCCCCTTTCCTGGTTTGATAAATCACGCTAGACTGCGTGGACGGGATAATCAATCTAAACTTCGCCGGACCCAAAGGTTTTTGAGTGCTAGCTGGAAAGTCGGGTTGCGATCGACTCGGTTCGAGTGATAAGAGCAACCAGGCCCTGGAAGCACTTAAACCGGGCCCGCACTCCCACGGGGGCTCCTGATCACATCGTGTCCAGTGCGATCTGGATCGGGAGAGGGCAGGAACTAAGCCGCCTCCACATGGGTGAATCTAGATCCTGGGTGGGGTCCTCGTGCCTATCACGGCACTGCACTGGGCTTTAATGCGCCGCACCGGGAAAACTGGGCCCGATTCCCCACCGTGCTGACCGAGAACTCGAGAAGTCATTGGGGGAGCAGGACAGGGAGGCGATTCATGACTCTGTGGTAGAGTTGTAGCCTGCACGAAGTGTGTTTGGGACTCTAGTGTGAACGGGATTTGCGGTAGTGTGCGCCAGGCAGCGTGGAAACAGGGGGCAGGCAACTGAGAGGCCATCGTTCGACTCAAGGACTCAAAAAATGGTTCCTTCGCTTGGCAGGGCGTTGAGCCGTGTGATGGAACGCCGATCGCATCTTCATAGATGAAATGTGATGGTGTCTCACCATGGTTGCATCGCGTGTTGAAGGGGGGGGGGAGAAGGAAGAAGGAAGACGGGAAGGTTTCGCCGAGGTTCTTCCCACCGTCGAGGCATCCCTTAGTAAGCACTAGACCAGGAACGCGCGGTGTGCATCACGTGCTGCGGTACTACCCGCGCGGTTTGCCGCCGTTGCATGTTTTGCCCTCTTTGCCCTCTTTGCACTCTTTGCCCCCTTTGCATCGGGGCTCGCTCCGCCCCGAATTCGGAAGCTGCATTAAGATACCTAGTACTACCCAGTACTACCCACCGAGTAGAAACTGACCGCATTTGCCTGCATCAATTATTGATCAGGCATCTAAACTATCTGTAAGAGTGCATGGCCTTACCCAGTAAGCTGCTCTCCTATCCCTGCAGTGTCATGTCTCTGGAACGTTGACGGGCATCGGAGGCTGCTACGCTACCTCGCTCGAATATATATTTCCTCGGGAAGGTCGCAAAAGAGGTCCGACATCGCCGCCGAGGAGAACCGACATGTACTCCAGTGCCTTATTGTCCATCTACCAAGACAACACATATCTGCTGGCTGATGTCGCTCACGTTCGCGTGAGCATGACTTAAAGATCAATTGAGATTGGTGAAAATAGATACAGACAGAAGGGTAAGAGAGTATAGTACAAAGAGCCTCGATACAAGTGACTCGGTCGCCCGCTTAGTTGCCGAAGCTGAACTCGGGGATGCTGATGGTGGAGACCGTCCAGGTCTTGCCACCGTCGGTGGTGGTCATCTCGCCCGTCACCCCGCTACCCTTGGCCATCGTGTTGATGTAGTCGGGGTCTGCCACGTCGAGGACGATCTTGGTGTCGATCCAGGCTAGAGGCAGTTCGTCAGTGACATTCCCAGTGACGGGTTTCCAATGGGGAGATACGTACAGTGAGCGCCAACAGTACCGCAGTTGTTCTCAGCACACTCCACGGCACTACCCCAGCCCTGAGCGTGGCCGTCGCTGGTCGAGAGAGTCGAGATGGTCTTGCCGTTGATCTGAAGGGTCTGGGTGTAGTTGCCGCTGGCATCGTCGAACTTGTCTGGAGGGGGGGGGTTGTTAGCCTTGAAGCAGGAGATTTACTGCATACCGAGCCTTACAGTGCATGGTGACCTTGTCACCCTTGGTACCATCCTCCTGGCCATCACCGTAAACGGGCATCTGGCTGTAGTCTACACCGGCAATCCGGGTCAGTACCTTGTCTGCCTTGATCATGCATCTCCTCTAAGAGCAGGATACTCACCACCGGTCTTCATCAAGGTGTAGGCGTACATGGTCCAGTCCTTCTGCTGCCAGTTATCGGCAATGGACTGGATCAAGTCGCCGTTGGAGGTACCCATGCCAACCCAGAGGGAGGTGATGGCATCAGTCGAGCCGCCGCTGGGACCGTTGGGAAGGACCAGCGTGGAAGTGGCTTCGCGGATCCACGAGTTGGAGGCGACGGGGCCGGTGCTGAAGGCAGGGCCCATGGCAGCGTTGACAGTGGTAGCACCGAGGGCGGCGACGGCCGCGAGGACTTGAGCGCGAGTGTGCATGGTGACTGAGGTATGATTGTGCGATGTGCGATGATAGATCTGGTTTGGTGGTTGACGAGGGAGCACGAAGGTCGCTTTATAGATTTTGGAGGTGGTTAGACCTCAGCCTTGGCGTCTCCTGAGGGCTGGCCATGGGGAGGGTCTGCAGAAGTCCCCTGTTTGACAATGTCTGGAAAAAGACCCTCAGCCCTAGGATAGAGGAGTTGAAGAATGTGGGGTTATGGGTCTCGAGGCCCTGAGGCCGTCAGCCAAGGCTGAAAATTAATCTACTTCGATCCCGATGACAGGCACCAGTGCCGCAGACTGCTACGCCAATTTCCCTTTTCGGACCCACCTCCCTCTCTCGGCGCTTCCTCCCGGATATTTGTAGCAGACTGGGAGATTACTCCGTGATGAAGTTATCGCGGCGATTGACCCTGTTGACCCGGTTGTGTCGAAAGGGATTAGGTAAGCGGCGTGAAGGGGATTCCGAGCCCTTGGCTGAAACCACCGACCGAGGAGGGCAGAAAGACTGGTGGAAATATTTGCTGCAGGCGCAACCATGCGACTAGAGAGATCTACGGTCCCTTGTGGCTTGATGATCATCCATATCCATGCATGGGACAATGTGACCGAATGAGCGCAAATACAGGTCATGATGCTGTCGAGACAATTGTTGCCGGTCCTCCCTACCTACCAATCTAGCGCAACGGACATACTCTTGACCCTGTGCTTTGACACTACAACATCAAGGGTTGAAGGGTTGTCATGAAACCAAGGAAATCCTCCCAACTCTAGACACTAATGACTCAGTTGGCCTAATGCCAAGACTGTTACCTATATATCTATAACGTGGAGCCCAAAACAGTCAGGCCATCAGGGGCTACCAGTCACATGATCGGATGGGGTTTCTTGAGCCCGGTAACCCTACCTAGTAAGCTGCGAACATGACCCCATCGGAGTCCAAGTCCTCTGTCACTGGGTCTGTTCACTCATGAATTGTGCAGTAGTCGAGGTCCTCTGATTTAGGTCGAAGTCGGCTGCGGTCGAATAGACCATAGCCTCGGTAGGTCTCTTGCGAATCTCGCTTGCACCGGTGGCGAAAGCCAAGCACCCAACGTCGACAAATTCCTTGTCGTTTTTGTTCTGCATTCCGAGTAGGCTATCAGCGGTGATATATAACCAAGTTCAGGGACGAAACCCAAAGGTAACGTGGATGCCTTGGAGAGGCCAGCTTGCGGGATTTTCGTCCGAGGCGCGGAGTTGCAAATCCCCGGAAAACTTTGTCGCCTCATTCCAGGGGAAATCCACCCCCGGGCTGACCCAAAGGAGCGGCAAAAGTCAAGCTTCTGCCGAGAATGCTTGGCCTTACCCTGGCTACGGTCATGCCTATCATTTACCACTTGTTGCAAGTACTTACTCACCGAAAGCCTGGCCGATAGGACTTTATCGGCCCGAGTCGGAAGATCACCGGCCAAGTCAAGTCCGAGTGAGCTCTCTCGATACCTTTACCGACATTAGTAGTAAGACAGGATGACGATTCACAAGATGTGATGAACTTGTGATACTTTTACCAAGATGGTTCCCAAAACAGTTCTCAAGAAACCAGAAAAGGGTTGCTATGAATAATCGAGGGCAAATATCCTGCTGTGTCCCACAATGCTGAACCGACGCGGTTTGCCGCCGCGGAGATAAAAAGAGGGCTGGACGTAGAGGCCACCCAGTCCGTAGTCCTCCTGCCCAGGTTGCCCAGTACAAAAACCGCGCAGTGTTTATGTCGGCTATGCCGGCATCTCGGCTGCCCACGCTTCCAACCACTACGTCGTCGCATGGGATCGATGGTGGAACCCCCGATCTCCAGGATGAGGCCCCCCCCCGCGAGACATTTCAACCCCGGAAGCCCGCGTTCCTCTTCTCCAATTCCCTCTGTACAACAGCTGGAACACTGCACCCCCAGGACCATGGACAACGTCAGGGTGAGCTTCCTGGATCGAATATGTCGAGTGACTTGGGGATGGTTCTCCATCTCCATGAGCACCGGCAGTATTGCGACTCTGCTGTACAACTGTCCGCACAAATTTGACGGCCTGCTGGTTATTGGCAAAATCTTCTTCATTCTCGACATCGTCACCTACCTTGGCATCTGGACTTCCTTGATCATCCGCTTCTCGCGTTTTCGTCACGCCTTGATCGACACGTTCGATGACCCCGAAGAATCCTACTTGATCGCCACAGCCGCCCTTGGTTTCGCAACCATACTCTTCGGCATCGAGATCTACGGTATCCCAGCCTGCGGAGTGTGGCTTCGCTGGGTCCAGCTGGTCTGCTTCTGGATCTACACGGCTATTGCCATCTGTCTGGCCGTGGGGATGAACTGGCACCTCTACCGCACCCGCATGGCCGCTCGACAGCCCTTCTGGCTCGTCCGTCTCCTCCCATCCTTCCCAGCCATGTTGGGCGGCACCATCGCCTCTCTCCTCACATCCGCTCAGCCCTCGCACTACGCTATCCCCATGCTCATTGCCGGGACTGCGTTGCAAGGCTTCGGGTTCATGATCTCTGTGTTCATCCTGGCCGAGTACATCCACGGCCTGCATCACCAGGGTCTACCGCCCATGCGTCGTCGCCCGCAGATGTTCATCGCCGTTGGACCACCGGCCTTCACGGCCGTGGCGCTAATGGGCATGGCGCAGACCGCCACCGAGAAGTTCCCGGTCCATTTGATTCCCATCACCAACCAGGTCAACACCGCCGACGTCCTGCTGGTGATGGCCGTGTTTATCTCGATCTTCCTCTGGATCGTGGCCCTGTTCTTCTGGAGTATTGGATGGCTCAGTATCTTCGACGCCCGCCGCGAGTGGAAGTTCGACATCACCTGGTGGGCGACCGTGTTTCCCAACACCGGATTTGCGCTGGCCATTATTAAGATCGGCGACTTGCTTGACTCATCCGCTATCCAGGGGGTCGGAACGGCAGCAACCCTTATACAAGTGATTCTGTGGCTGGGCTGCGCCAGCATGCACATCTGGGCCTACTTCACGCGGCGCACGCTGTGGCCGGGGATGGATGAGGGCTTCGGTCCGGATGAGCATCAGCATGAGGCCGCCTTGGACTTGGAGGGTGAGGTCCGGTCGTACAAGGGTTCGTCATCGACCTGACTGCGGACCGTTCTGTCGATCGTACATTTAACCGGCTTCCAATGACCTATGGTCAGAATGTATATACCTTGCTGGCATGAACGTGATATTGCGAAGCAGTCACGTCGCATTGATCTGATCACTTGTACAGTATTTTTGTGTCTTCTCTCGCTCTGTTTTGCTTTCTTTCTCCTATTTCGCCTGCGGTTTGTGCTTTCCAAAGATGTGGCCGCATTTGCTTATGTACTGTACATAAATTGCATACTATCTTGTTTTTCCAGACACATCTTGTGTACGAGGACTTCTAGAAAAGGTAGTGAAAGAGCCAACTCAATCGCGGGGCCCGGACAAACGCCGAGAAATGCCAGATGTTTGGCCGTAGTGGAACGCGTAGCTTTATTTCAAACCACCTGGTCATTCTCGACGTCACGACCTATCATGCCAGAAGACCCGTAGGCCAGGATGGATCGGCGGACTTGAGGGGGTATTATGACTATAGGATGAGGATGTGCCATCATCTCAACGGGAAAGAAGGGGACAGACAAGCTGAGATCACAGCACCAGCAACAAGGGGTGTGTCTGGGTATAAAGATAAGTTACAGTACGTGTTACATATAGTACGTCTCTAACGCCGCGCCTCTTCAGCCTCTCCGTCCGCCTAACGCGACATATTACAATACGGTACAGAGAGGCAGAGCCAGCCGGAGACATCTAGGAGTCACTCAGTGTGCTGTTGGACTTGACAAGAAAAATGATTGTCTCCATTTCAAAGACGCCTGATGCACCTAATTACTCTTGGGGATTGATTAAGACCTTCTTTCCACTGATCCTCCCCTCATGCAACATATCCAATGCCCTTTGAGCGGAGCGGAGCCCTCCCGGGAGCCACAGTGCCGGGTTCGGCCAAATCGTTCCATCCTTCAGAACCCGGGGTAGAAACCGCTCCATATACCATGTACGCAACTCCCGGTTCTCTGGGTTTGAGACCAAGTCCTCACTGTAACCTGACCACGTCTTGGTCACATTGTCTGGGAGCCGATCATCTCCAGGGGATGGGCTGGTCGAAAAGAACTGACCGCCGGTATCCCGCAGTAAGTCCGCCATGAGCTGGGTGGTCGTCTGGGATCCAATGGCCTCGAAGATCCCCCCGTCATATGGACCATGGGCTCGGATCTCATCGAGGAGATCTTCTCGGGATTGACAATGATCGATGATATGTGTAGCAGCCTTGCGTGCCTCCACCAACGGACGATTGGCCGGCGAGGCGGTGGTGACAACCTCATACCCGGCCGCTGCCGCATATTGCACGGCCAGCCCTCCAACCGCCGAGGATCCGCCGTACACAAGAACTCGTTTCCTCCTGGCGTCCTTGTTGGGGTTTGAAGGAGGGAGTAGTCCACCACTACTATTCAGGACCGGTTTCGCAAGGCCCATATGGATACTGAGCGCCGAGACCACGGTCGCCAGGTTCGCAATCAACCCCGAGGCGGCCTCCAAGGTAGTGCTCTCCAGCGCGAGGCGAAGCGTATTCTGCTCCCGAGCCAGGGCGTATCGCTGCAGGGCACCGAATCGGTGATCGCCCCCTGTCCGACCCCAACGCGCCACCACGACTCGATCGCCGCTCTGGACCGACTCCATGCCTTGTCCGGTGGCGATCACCGTTCCGGCAAAGGTGAATCCGACAACCAGCGGATATGTGGATTGGAATAGATCGGACCTGCAAGGTGATCAGAATACACAGGTACATAGGTCAGCAATAGTCCCGGGCGCGGAAAATGATATGATACCTCTGCAGTTTTGTGTCGATGGGGTTGAAGTTGATAGCCTCGACCCGCACCAGCAGCTCACCCTCGGCTGGAACCCACTGGTCAACGGCCTCGATTGTAATCAAATACCCCGGCTTTCGAATCAAGCCAGCTACATTTGATGCCATTATGATCGGATTCTATCAGTGACCGCTTTTTTTCCCCGTGCTCTTTCGTGCTCGATGCATGGCGCTGGATTTTGGGAAGAGGGTTCATCTTTGTCTTAAGTTGCACCCCACGCATGAACCGCGTTTCTGTATTTGTAAGCCATACAGCGAGTCAGTCAATCATGCAAGCCAGTCAATTGGATGTCACGGCGGGTTTGTCGGCAAATGGAGTGGGGCCAGCTCGGTAAATTGCAAGCGAGCCGCGGATCGATCCCAAGCTGTCATATGTCCATAGCGAACTTCATTGCGATGCATTTTGGGTTGCGGGAACCGAATATAGTATAAGGCAGGATATGGAATGGCCGCAAAGAGATCGATGGAATTGAGACTTCGATGATCCTTAGCCGAACTACGAGTCAATCGGTTCTTAGTGGTACCGAGTAGTTTAGCGCTTAGCAGTATGCCTGGTAGTGATTCTTGGTGCTTCTTAGAGTTTAGTGATCCCTGCTAGTTGGATGTGATCAGATGTGATCATGAGGATAGAATGTCTGTACTTAAACAAAGAAAGCAGTTCAGTGGGAAGGAGGGCTAAGTCCAAAGGGAAGTTGGGTGGGTTGGCGGAATTTGTCTAGCTCTCCTCGCTTCATATCTAATCTAACCTGTTGCTACAAGCACTAGTTTGATTTACAAGTAGTTCAGTACCTCTAGCAACAGTCATACTCAGCGACAATTCTTTCCGGCATGGCCATCAAACCACTCCCTGTCTGGCTGACTCGTACGTGACCTGCCTCTCCCCTCCTTTTCCAGCAGGCTGTGTCTGAAATGTCGGGCTACTTGTGTCTCCCTGGGTACCTTGCCAGACCCAACCCATGGCAGGTGGTCCTCATCTTCGAGGAGCTTGGGGTCCCCTATAAGATCGAGAGTTCTAAGTTCGAGAGCATATGGAGAAGCTTGCGGCGGAGGGACAGGAGGCCACACAGGCCGTGTGATCTTAGTGGAATGAGGTGGTAAAATAGAGAATAAGCAACTTGATTGTTTCTCGGTGACTGGCATAGATATCACTACCTCTCTGGTTTTGATTTGCGCTCGTTTCCAGTCCAACATGAAATTCACTATCCATGGAAAAGTGATTCAGGTTGGGACAAGGTAGGGTGTTAGGGCAGCGAGTCATCGCGTGCCGACGGCGCGCCACGAGAGGGCGTTTAATGACCAGTACCACAAACCATAAACATGCTGCTATGTGTTTTTGGTAGCCTTGCTGGTGGAGGAAAAAAAAACTGGAAATGTGGAATGGTCGCTCTGTTGCTCTGCCACCAGACAAGGCTTGGATGCGATCGCGAAAGGCTGGGTTCTGGGCCAGTTTACCAATGGGTCGATCTTCGCCGTCGCATATCGAGCATCCGCGGATCCCTCGAACGCGTGGAGATTGCCGTCCACCCACTTGCGATCTGACTGAAGACATGCTTGCTTCATCTCTTCGGCGCTTTTATTGATCATTTCCGTCCAGAAAGATCCCTCTCCGGGGAGAGCAGGGCTGCTCGCTCCAACGCCTGAACTGCGCCAGCCACCCAGTCTTGGCAGTTGCCAACCCCAAACGAATGCTGTGAGCACTTCGGTTGCAGTGGTCTTTTGCGATGCTGCAAGACACTTTCCGCTTCCCGCCTATGGGAGTCAGACATGCGCTGAATATCGCTGCGCCCAGAGGTAGTCGTGGACTCCACAGGCCGTGCGTGCATTATGCGCGCGGCTGGACGTTGGAAAGAAAGTGGCGAACCCCACCTTCTACCCCACCCAGCAATCCATGATTCCTGGTACCGCCGCTCTCCTCGGCTGGCAGCTTATCATCACCAGCTTAGTCGTTTCACAAACAAATCGGACGCCTGTCTCTCGACCTGACATTGTTAACATTCTTCGTGACATATGCCCCCGCTACTCAAGCCACAGACCAATACCAGGATGGATGCTGAAAAGGTAACTCAGCTCTACAGTCAGTTACCTAGTCTTATATCCAAGGCCAGGCACAGTCTCATCTGGGGGGTGGACCTTGAACAAGGAGGGCAGGGGACTGAAGCTATCATTCGAAAGGTAGAGTAATATTCCGAAAGATGCCAGATGAGTCTAAATCGTTCGCTGACATAGTACAGTTCTTGAGAGCTTACTCTATTCTCCCTTCACTGCAAATCTCCCGGGCATCTCAGTCACTCAGAAGGACTTTGGAGTGGCAGCGATTTAATAGAGCAGAGACCATGAATGAAGCCTTGGCAATAGTCAAGGAGTCAGGGATTGCTCACATTACGCGCCTGCAAGGCAAGTTCGTTCTCTGGGTGATCATAGATGAGCGCGTTATCAAAGGTTTCGCATCTTCGTACGAGGAGTTCATGACTCGCAAAGGATTGATGCACCTGGGGCTAGCAGTCATGGAAAGCCTAGCCAAGCTAGAGATTCAAGAAGTATGCACCGGCGAACCTATCAGTGACCAGGCCGCTGCTTGTGTGATCGAATTCAGACTTGCTTCAATGCCTGCCGCTCAGCCACAGCGCATGCCATTTCGCGACATGATCATCCAGAAACCAAATGACCTTGTCTCATCAATCGATCTACATTATCCCTCTCTTCTGGATATCTTCTACGTGATTAATCCCTCGGAAGAATATCTTCTTACCCTTGGCGTGCCTGACAGGTTTCTGGCACATACGACTCTTCTATCCCATCGCGAGGATCTGGTACATTATCTGGGGAAAGCCGTTCCAGTAGAGTATGGTGGGGAGGGTGAAGCTCTCCTCGACGGAGACTATCTTGTCGGCACTGAACTAACCGAACAAAACCGGCAGTCGCCAGGACAAATCACTGCAAGCGAGGGGCAGGAGGTCGATTCTCAGACTGTTCCTGGTGTTGGCGCTGTACAAACGGCGCAGGTTAACGCCGATATCACCGGCTCAGGCCCCCGAGAACCAACACTCATATTCTCGGAAAAGATCGGACCACCTACAATAATCCTAGACCCAGAGGATCTCAAGTCAGCGACCGAGCTTTGTCCCAGGAAGATGGGCGCTCGTATAGTTTGGGCTGATGACGATATGCTGGTCAAATATGGCCACGGCGTTCGTCTAGCTGAGGCTGAAGCAATGCACCTGGTATCCAGTAGAACCTCGATACCCATTCCCAAATTATTGAGCGCTTACATACTTGACGGTGTCGGGCACATCGTTATGTCTTATGGGGAGGGAGAGCCTTTGGACAATTATTGGGACCGTGCTTCAGAGCCGCAACCAGCTGCAAGACTACGTCACGCAAATGAGGAGTATCATCGGGCGGTTCATCGGCGGCATTGACTCTTCCCCTTGTAGAGATGGGATCTTCGAAGGTGGCTATGGACAGTACGAGTCCTATCGCTATGGGCCGTATGCCTCCGAGCCCGAGTTCAATGAGGGCGTGGTACAGGCGCTGAGAGATCGCCTACCACCGGAGTCGCGGGTTGAAGTAAATCGTCCGGACTCTGCGTTTTTTACTCGAGAATACATTATGTACCAGACTGTCAGAGGGTTGCGTGGGCACTCCATCGTCTTCACGCACGGAGACCTACATCCCGGCAACTTGCTGGTTCGCGCTGATGGAGTGGTTGTTGTGCTCGACTGGGGGCTAGCTGGTTACTGGCCGGAATACTGGGAGTTCTATCGGGCAATGTTCAATCCACCTTGGCGCCCTGTCTGGGATCGAATGATCGAAAATTTTATCCCACCGTACTATGTTGAAAGTGAAATTATGAAGAAGGTGTTCGGCATAGTGTGGAACTGACACAGCTGTATACAAACGCAAAGCCCTCCCACAGCGCTGATTCTTGTTTTGGGGTTTACTTCAATTTCTCGTCAGTTGACTAGTGGCCTGTTGATTTGAAAGACCCCTGATTACGCTCGCTGTGATGTATTCCGCAACAACATTGTATGGTGTCCTGTATCGTATAATTGGCAGAGGGGCAATCGGGCCCAACGAGCATCTTCTGAGGCCGGGAATTGTATCCGAGGAGGACCTGCATACGCCCAAGATACCGCTTCTCGAGCTCGGAGAAGCACCCCGAGATAAGATGATACCATGAAACCGAATGACACATGGATCTCGGCTTTTTAGGTCATAGATATGCATCACAACAGGCTCGCTTGGGTGAGGCACACAGATGCCGTGTATCTAACCACCCCGTCGACCGATTCCTCGCCCGCGGATTTGGCCGCACTGTGGCATTGGTTTGCGTGGAGCACCGTTTGAAAGAGGACAGTGGGATGGATCAGAATACTGTATGTGGTTGTATTAGCAAGGAAGAAATGAACACCATCACTGGCAGGTCTCGAGCTTTGTTACATAGTGGCGACGTTGGATTACTATGTACTGATTTTTAAATCGTAGTAGGCAACGAAAATCAACCTGTAAAGTGTATGCTCTGGTGGACCTAGACCAACAATTGAGCTGTCCCAGAAAACGCCCATTGTACACCTGAAGAAGCTCGACGAAATGACTATGGATTTCAGTCAGTTAATCAGCTATTTGCTACATATCCGTGATACCGTTCTGGGGTCTACTGGCATTCGTTGTGCGGAGGTCATGAAGTATCACAATGTACTTGGGAAACGTACATACGACCTAGAGTAGGTTACGCTGTTTCAGAACATAGTGAAAAGCCTCGTCCAAGATTACCAAGCCCTCCTCAATCTCAAGCTTCGCGCTCTTCTGATATCACAGTGAGTATGGATCCTTTCCAAAAAGGAGTGCAAGTTCTCACAAATTCTCATATGACGGAATGACAGCCCGCACAATCCGTTGGGAAGATGTTGTGCATCGTGGTGAGAGCCTTTTAGACCTAATAATATCCCACGACAGAAACATACATGAATCAACAGCCCCGTCGAACTCTACCGGCATTTGCCACCTTCTGCGGTAAACACAGTCTCCATTTTATCTCTGATGAGATATATGCGCAGTCCATCTTCAATAACTCAGCACTCCCGAGCGCTGTACCCTTTGTTTCGACACTGGCGCTGGACATGCTCGCGACACATGCATCCGGCCATGGTCCACGTACTATACGGTGCGAGCAAAGACTTTTGCGCGAATGGCTTACGCCTCGGCCTGGTTTGTACTCAAAACGAGGGTGTCTTAGGCGCAAAGTCAAGTATTAGGTAGATCCTGAGCTTGAGCTGTTCGAGCGGGGCTGATAGGTTCATGGCAGTAGGTTTTCGTGGTCACCACATCTCCTTCAGGACGTCTGGGCAGCTATGTGGCTGACAAGAAATGGCGGACGGGATTCATGCACAGCAAGAAACAGCTCATCGAGGAGCACTACCGCTTAACTACTGCGTTCTTTCAGCAGAACCGGATACCATACTGTGAGATGTGTGTTCGCGGTGAAGCCGATTTTATCGGGGCTGCTTTCCCGAGCTAGCTGACCCATCCTGAGGAATGCCGGCCTGTTTATCTGGATAGACCTCCGCCATCTAATTCGACCAACCCCCAAAGGTTTACACTCCGCGTCGCCAGCAAATAGAACATTAAAATCAGCAGAGTACAAGGAGCGTGAAGTAAGGATTGTCGAAACCTGTGCCAAGAATGGGGTGTTGATCGCCCCCGGCCATGTGTACGTCCCAGAGGAGTTTGGCTGGTTCCGAGTCACTTTCACCGCGGGAAACGAAGCCTTGAAAGAAGGTCTTCCAAGGTTACGAATGTCGATTAGGGAGATAGAAGCAATGGGAGCCTGGTGAGGCCAAGGTCAAAAGAGTCCAGTGATTTTCGACTGCAGGTTACAATGGTCCGACATTTCAAAAATTCGTACAGGCGATAAATTGGGGCTCGCCATGAATCGCTAAAGTGCGACTATAGCCTACAGTATTTGTCTTTCTATTGTACAAACATTTCAGAGCAACCCTATAATGAGTGGAATACCCCGGATCAGGGTAGAAAGAAGAGGCAACGGGGGAGAAAGCAAGAAAGACACCGGGCTTGGACAATGCCTGAGGATACGACACGTCAGACTGAAGTGGAAATACGGAGATTGCCGGCTCAGTAGGGTGCTTGCGCTGCAAAATAGTCGAGAATCAGCTCCACTCGCTCCTGGGACGCCGTCTGCATCATCTCGTACTCAGCACCCACCAAGAAAGTCTCATTTCTCGCGGGAGAATTGGCGAGCCAATTGGCCGGCAGAGACCCATTGTTGTACGAGCCACCGGTGTTAGGGTTGGAGGTCTTCATGAAGTTGGCCCAGTAACTGCTCATCACGTTGGCCACTAATAGTCCTCGGCCGTGTACTCCTCGTCCTGTGCCCACAGATTACCCAAAACGTAGACAATCTCCGAGGCGTGGGCGGCGCTGCCGTAGTTCCAGTAGTAGGTGTAGGTGTCGACTTGATCGGCCGAGTGGGCAAAGCCGTTCATGTACTGCCAGCTGCTGACGCGGAACATGTCCCGCACAATCTCATCTTCTTGCTCGCCTGCCTGGGTGTCGTTGGCGGCCGGGTACAGTTCCAGGAAACGAGAGGCAAAGTCACCGTACGTGGAGTTCAGGGACTGTTCGTAGGCGGCTACGGTGGTGGTCACGGTGGCCGAGGCTCCGTCTTCGTTGGCGTTGTTGCCGGTGATGTAGGGGACTTTGTTGCCGGCTCCCCGGGCGAGGGTGTTGATGTAAGTGTCCGGAATTGCATAATAGTCCAGAACTGGCTTCACCTCCAGGCTGTAGAGGCTGGTCTGCTCGAGGAGGGTTTCGGTGTCAATGGCACGTGCGGCAGCAATGGAGCTAACGTTGAGGGAAGCGATGATCTCCTTGCCGATGGCTTCTGCCTCGTTCAAGCTGAGGTAGGCGCATTCGAAAACCCCCGTGTTGGGATCGCTGGGCGAGCGGACTCCGGACTCGGAGATGGCACTGACAATGCCCAAGTCGGCGGTCAGCTCACTGTTGACAATGTGGTAGGTGGCAGCCGCACCAAATGATTGTCCGATCACGGAGATATGATCAGGATCCCCGCCAAAGGCCGCGATATTCTCGTGCACCCATTTCACCGCGGCATACTGGTCCAAAATGCCCCAGTTGCCCGAGGCATTCCGGCCCGTGGTCTCGGTCAACTCGGCATCCGCCATGAAGCCAAAGACTCCGTTGCGGTAGTTGTAGGAGACGAAAATAATCCCTTTCCCGGCCACTCCGGCGCCGTTGTAAGTGGTCTGAGGCGGTGCTGTCCCGGCACCATAGCTCCAGATGGCAACCGGCAGCTTGTCCTCAGTGGAGGTGGCGGGAGTCCAAATGTTGAGGTTGAGGCAGTCCTCGCTCTGGGTGTAATTGGCCAGCACTGACAAGGTAATGGGGCAAATGGGACCGAATGAGGTCGCATTCAACGTCCCCTTCCAAGGCTGGGCGGGCTGAGGGTCGCGCCAGCGGTTCGCGCCAGAGGTATCAGCCGCAAAAGGAATGCCACCAAAGAATGAGATGTTTTCCCAGTCGGTTACATAGTCGGCCGCCGCAGCAGTCAAGGCGGCCTTTCCTTGCACGGAGCCATATCCAGGAATGTCGACGGGCTTCTTGTACAGAGGTTCGGCTCGGTGCCCCGACTCAACAAGGCGGCAGCGAGAGCGAGAGCGAGGGTCGCGTGAAACATGCTGAAGGGCGCGGTAGAAGGGATAGGTGGTTGATTCAGGCTGGTCAAGTGAGTTGGAGTGGGCATTGAGACCAAGCACCATTTGGCATACTTATACACCAGCAGTGAACTCAACATCGGCCGAAGACTACAACCACAACATGCGATTTCCGAAAATTCATTGCAGGCCACGTAGGAGTTTTCCAAGCGTCGTTTCAAGTATAGCATGACTCACGTATCCGGAACATCTGGTGCAGGAAAGCATGTTGCCTTCACTGTCTAGCAATGCTGTGAACTTCCGAGTGAGCCCTGACCTCGGCCTGGATTACCGCATTGGGCAATTGTACTGGCCTCTTGCAGGGAGACCGGAAATTGAGACCGTCCACCGGGTAGGGCTAGTATCTCCACTAACATACGTATACTCCCACAAAGTTGCCCACTATGGGGTTGATAGCATCACTTCTTAGTGAACTGCGTTGTCGTCCCAAATCAACCGGGTGCACCGAGGAAAAGTTTATGAGAATGCCAAGGCTCTTAGTGCAGTAGAATTCTGTCTGCACTATGCGCGTACCTGGGTTATGGAACGCAATCTAGATCGATTGGGGAGATATCCCGAGGTACCCTCGTAGGCTCGCTGTTTAACTGAAGCATCATCGTCTCATGCCTGTGCCCGTGGTCCAAGGTCCGAAAAGAACCTATACCTTGAATACAAGCCAGCTACCTGGATTTGCGCACCGATTAGTTATTGATCCGTCATATGGTGAAGGGGCGACTGGTAACTCATGATGTCCTGCACTGTACGGTACTGGATAGCCGACTAAGCACATGCATTGTGTCGAGTGTTATTCGAATGCAGTTGGATTTCTCTACTTACCGCTTTTTTGCACTCACCGTTGATGTGCCTTTTACACGCGGGAAGAACAATACACACAGGCCTAAGGCACCTTTATTATACAAGGACAATTCTTCGTTCTACCATGCAGTCAAATCAAGACATTGAGCACTTACAGCATTGCATACCAAGGAAGTTAATGTGAGCTGCCCTATAGTGGAGTAGAAGTACAATACTTTCCTTAGCTTACCATCCACCAATGGCTTCGACTGGTTTGTGACACTTAGGACGCTCCGTTTGTCAACAGCCTGGTGTACTGTTACTGTACTGTACTGTGCGGATACGCCCTTGGCCCACTCAACTCTTGCCTTCCCTCTCCAGATTGCCTCAGCTTTCATTCATCCCATCTCTTGCTACTCTCCCTGAGTCGTACATCTGTCTGTCACCACCGTGATCTCTCAATTTATCCCACGCTGCCTGCTTCCAGAGTCATCTGGCAGGACAGTCCTCGATCACTTTCCCATGGGCAAATACCACCCACCTCTCGACCAAGTCACCCCCGACTGCGGCGACTGTGGGCATCGTACATGTGGACCTCCAACGGTTCTCGCAGGTGTATTGCGGCTGAATTGGCATCCCATTTGACAAACAAATCGCCCAGCTTCCATTTGGATTAATCCTCAAATGGTCGGATGGCACCCGACACGAAGTGGTTCTGGCAATGCATGTCGCCCGAGCAGCTGGATTCCCAGTTCCACGAGTCATCAGCTACGGGGACCATCCGGATACACCCCATGCACCATTGTCAATATTGATGACTCGTATGCCTGGTGCAGAGTTGGCCAGGTCTATGAGACACTAAGCAGCAAGAACAAAGACTCCGTGTTGAAAGAGCTCAAAGATTATCTGCAGGTTATATGCGCATATCCAAATCCGTTTGGGGGGGGGGGGTCGGATCTGCTCGTTGGAGGGAACCGCAATCCGAAGCGTCCGCATGCCCGATCACTTGGAGGTCCCTTTGAATTGGAAGAAGAGTTCAAGAAATACTTGATTCGACCGGCAAAGGCAGGTGGGTTTTCATCTGAGGAGGAATACAACCATGCTCCCAAGATCGCCCGAGGAATAGAGAAAATGCCACACCGTATTGTTTTCAGTCACGGCGATCTGAAACATCAAAAAATACTGGTAAAGAATGAAAAGGTCACGGCATTTCTTTACTGGGAGTCTGCGGGCTGGTATCCTGATTACTGGGATTTTACTACAGCGCTGCGATTTGCTCGCAAGGACTTCTGGTGGTACGATTTTGTTCTTGGACTCGGGGGCTGATGCGTACTTGGCGGAGTTGGACTGCGATCGTGCACTGAACTCTCCAATAAGCGCTTCATATTATTGGTGACGCTGTGCGACAATCCCGGTGCGATTGTTAATCTGGTGTCAGGCACATAGATGTATGATGTCTGGTCGGAACTCTCAATATAGTTGTGGCGGGCGATGATTGGGGACTAGCTCTATCATATTCTAAGGATACTTCGACCAGGACTCAGGGTAGCTCCGGCGGCGCGAACGCAGTCACCGCGGGCTGCAAGTTAGGGCTACCCCTTGAGCATGCTTCATCTCTCACGATCTTGGATATAATCGCTCGCTCAATGGCTCCTGCAGATTCCGTCTACTCAACTATACCGTGTAGAGGTGTCAGAGCCCGCAACGCGCCCTCTTAAGCTTCGTCTCAACGGGAAAGGTGTCAGGAACGTGGATGATAGTAGACTCTGACTATTCGAGGCTATCTGCGAGGAACCTATAGCTCAGAACAGCAAGGTGGACGGGGAGCTGCGACCTGAGGCCGCAGGGCGCCAAGAAAAAGGTGAACTGCAACAGGTGAAGGTACCTTGAGCTTACCAGGGTTCCGTACATCTCGCTCGGCTATGACCTCTATTTGATAGGATGTAGGTTTATCTCCAACACATTACAGCCATATCCGCTTGTGGGCAGCTGTCCTTTTCGATTGGCCAGCGCTTAGCATCAACTCATTGCTTTCGGTGCCGGCTGATCCATTGAATCATGTGTTCATTTCGTAGATGGGAGCTCTGTCGGTGATGGCGCTCTTTGGACACACCTGCTCTAATCTAGTAATTTACTATGCAATCAGATATGGAGAACTTTTCTTGGTTGAGGAGCGGATACATGGTCTTTATCCAACCCCGAGTCGACGGTAAGGAATGCCGGCCACTTCATAAGATTTTATCTATATGTTCCAAGATCTAATTACTATTTGACTGTCGGGGTATGCGACTCATCATATCAAAGGACAATAGATATATACCAATCCCAAACGCCGCCCCGACCCGCTATATGGAGAATATCCTGGCACCTATGCTTCATTCGATGTGGATGGGGTGCATGGAGTTGCGCGTGGGATTATGTACAATTGACCTTGCTTTGCGCGAGTATTCTCCTCTTGTTGCATATACCTTACTTGTGTATACGAATGTCAGTTACCTCTATGTTTCTTGTGAGTATTCACCAAGTCCATCTTGCTCTTTACTACTTGTGGGATATGCGACGTTGACTTCCTCTGAGACTCGAATTGTAATATGATGGAATGTCTTAAAATCAATGTTGACTTCCTCGGGTGCGATTTTTTTAAGTGTCTCGCAACCATAAGAGAACTCCTGCAAGTTGACATCATGCCATGATCCGTGTGCGAGATGGACTAACGCTAACCTGGTTCTTGAACCGAGATAAACCACATTAAAGGATAAGCTAGTATTCTCGAGACTGGCCTGACCTGAAATTCCAATTCTGCCAACGCCATCTGCTTCTTGGAAGACGATTGTTCTAATAAGCGCCGCTAGGCGGAAGCCGTACAGGTGGGTCTACGCTAAGCTATATTTAGGCATAAAGTACGACCCCCGGCCCGGGCCCCAGGTGTATTAGGTAAGTAAGTAATTGCTCTCAAGACTCAAAGAGCGAATAGCCTCGGCGAATAGCCAAGGCGGTGTGATCTTCTTCTCCTCTTTTCTAATCCAAGTTCTACTGCCCGCAGTATATCACACTATCACACTCTCACCTTCTGATTATCCTCCACAAGTCCGGAACATGCCCGGCATCTTCTCCAGTAAAGCCTGCGATATTTGCCGCAAGGTAAAGAAGAAATTCCACTGAATTTTCTTCTATGGTGCATTTCTGCGCGATTTGCCCCGCAGTTTGGGCCACACTCAGGTGCTGGACTCGGCCGCCAGTGCTCTAGCTTCCCTCTACCCATTCGTCTACCAGCGAGAACTCCCTCGTAGTGTGTTAATCCAGTGTGCAAAAGCACTGGGCGCCCTGCGCGAGAGCCTACATGATCCGGCTCAGGTCTGCTCCCCGAATACCCTGTGCGCCATTTATCCAATTTCGATATGTGAGGTAGGTAGGGCAGAGGTTCTCCTATCCCTTACAGAGGAACCGAACCAGCCATGCTAAGCCCATTGTTGGTGAACCAGGACGGTCTGGGAAAACGCAAATCTCCCGCCTGCCATGTGGAGGCGATCTCGTACATACTGTGAGTAACAGACCTGGGCAAATGCGCGGAGTGACTTTGAGACAAACTTGATTATACACTGAGAGTGCCGGTGGTAGATCAAACTTTTCTTGCGTCCGAGTGGGAAGGCCCTGACGAGCAGTTGTAGATCTATGAGGGAATCACCAATCCGCGGGTACAATTACCGCTTGCCTTCCAGGAGAAGATCACCAGGAAGATCCAGCAAATGTCTCCAACTCCGCAGAATGAGCTCCTGCCACGCTCCGTTTCTGTTTCTGGACTTGTGCATGGTTGAGTTTTATGCTGCTGCGCTTTTGTGCATGCGAACTGCAGCTCGCTATGCGGGCAAGCAACCACTCACCTTTGCTCCTATCTCCAATTGTTCGACCTTGGCAACAAGGTGAAAGCAGAATGTGACCCATCCCCACAATAATCAATGCACGGCACAGACACATGGAAGAGATGGTGTCTTAACTTCCCTGAATTGATCCCGGTCACTAACCTCTCAGCCCCACTAGTAGGGGTTGTCTGCGGGGCGTGCCATGGCAGCTTTCCTTCCTGCAACGGGGAGGGACATACAAAAGAGGGATATACTTGACATGGCTACCCTCTTGCTGTATGCTGCCTGGACCCGTGTTGGACTTGCTTCATGGCTCAGAGTGCAGCATTCTGTGCACTGTGGATCGTAGCGCGGGAAAGCAACAATCACGTCAATGATACACCACATCAGCACACGTCGCCTAACCAGGGACTGCCGTTATGGCAGCCGATCAAAGCTCGCAGCGACGCAGAGGGGTTTCTATTCCTCTATAACTGGGTGCAACAATTTATCGAGTTTCTTCATAGTCGTGGATGTGACTAGGCTTGATCTCCGATGAGGCATCAAAGAATAGTGACGAATCAAGGAATATCAAGGAGTCAACGATGCCCTTCCTTGCCAGTTATCATTGGCCTTCTGATCTGGAAAGCATATCTAGTGAAAGATACACCCGGAAAGTAGTTCCTGCAGTCCTCATGTCAGACGACGTGGAGCAAACTTTCGCCGAGGTCGCTAAAGCGACCAAAAGCTTGAAGGCGTTCCCCTACGTCGCCATGCCCGCCCACCGACTACACAACAAGGCCCGTCTAATGTTGCAGGAGCATTTCAGTGCCGATCGACTCCAAGTGTACGTTGATCGGGCGGGGACAGATCCCGCCCCCAATCCCAATGACTCGTATGACGAGATCTTCTTCATCTATGACCTGTTCATCAGGTTGTCTATACCTGCCGTTTCAGATGGGATTGCGAACTTGGATAGCAAGGATGACCCTCAAAGCCTGGGTCGATATCTTGATAAGAGCATTTCGCACCTTCGTTACCCGGAATGCACCACAAATCGTCTGGGCTCCTGCCTTCTGAAGCACATCAATCGGGACCTCAGTTCTCGAGGAGAAACAACATCCAAGACCTATACCCGAACGATGCCTTCAATAAATACTGCCTGCAGATGATCGCCAATCCCAAATTTATTCGAACGGAGATTCGAACCCATGTGCTGAGGCACTTCATCTGTTCAGTATCACCTGGCTGCTCATCGCGGACTACATGCAAGACGAGGATGCCTTCGCCCGTCCCAAGATTGCTCGCAGCAGTTTCTCGACAAACTCCTCGCTACTGCCTATCGGATGATGTGCAGTTTGTGGATACCTTGCCCGAAGGCAATCAGGATGCCAAGTACCCGTGACTGTACAACGCCATGGACGAGCTCATCGTCAATGTCCTGGACGGGGACTCATCTATATCTACCGACGTCGCACAGATGTTACGGGAGGAGATCGAGGCATTCGAGGAGAAGAACCAACTGGACAAAAACACCGACAATGAGCAGCTTGCGGCAGCGATCCTGGAGAAGAGTGTCTTGTTGATGCGCGAAGTTACGGGCTGGCTGATCTACTTTGACAAAGGACTCCAGGTTGCCTTTGGCGGCACTGTGCTCTGGAGATGGGTCGAATCGAGATGGGTCGAAGAAGCCTTTGATTGACTCTCCAGCAAGGTCATCCTGCCCGGTGTGCTCCGCCATATATGCAAGATAAGCCCCAGGGCCATTGCCTCGGACGACTAGCTAACTGGTCCCTAGGTGGGCATCACGTTCTCGATGGTGGCGATCAATGTGTGGTAATTGGCGATACTGTGGGATATAATGTTGGACCCTGAACGGACGGTCATCAGCTTCCGGGTAGTTTGGATTGTGATCGATGGGATCAACAGGGCGCTGGGTCCTTTCAAGAACTTCCAGTCCAAGCCGGCATCCTCGCTCGCCGACGAGCTCAACATGCAGGCCCTGAATGACGGCCTTATGGAAGGGATTCCTGGAAGACAGCAAGAAGATGGGAGAGGCAGCGAAGAATGTGGCCGGTGACGGGAGATTATCGGGTCTTGATCCCAGATGGGACTTCGTCCGATGGAGTCTCCACAACGAGCGAGAGCGAGGAAGCCTGGAACGAAGACATCGATGCCATCGCCAAAGAGGTACCCCCGGCTACGAAGAGGCGGCGAAGCGGTTCAAGTGGTCGGGGAATTTGCTGCGCGGTTGTGCCATTCCTGGGGATTGGCCTGATCGTGACCATGTTGTTCTCCATGGCCAATGACTGGAACTCGTTCTCCGATCCTGGCAAGGGCCTAATGCGCTCAACGTCGTCGTCCAGGGAGTGACGGTGGTGCTGGATGTCATCGAGGTCGGGTCCGAGATTGGGCTCTGGGCCGTGATCGAGACCATGGCCGTGGCAATGCCCATTCTGGGGGCCGTCCTCGCCGTGGTAGGCATCGTTTCTCATGATCGTGCAGGCCGTGATCAACTTCTTCACGGGCACCAAGCCCTCGCCGGACCCCATTGCCGATTTCATCATAGACGAAGCGCATGGGCTGATCGCCCAGCTGTGATACGGCTCCCGATTCCCAGCTCTCGTACTCCATCTGCAATGCAAAAGTCACCTCCCGGCAGGTGCAAACAATCACGATTAAGTGCGATATCAAGTCGTCCGAGGACGTGACCGTGTCGAAAGCCGTCATTACTCTGTACTCGGGCGACGACAATGTCTGCCTCTTCCGGAATGGGACTGACAACATTGATAACCTTCATTTGGTGGAGGATAACAGCGCCGACAAGGAAGCAATGGTCATACTTATGTGACGCCAGCCAGCACCACCGCCGCACAATTGTCTTCCCCCGCCAGACTTGGGTCTACGTCAGCCTATTACGAGTATGACCTCGAGGTGGCTGGTCTTCCAGACACGACCACAAGCTGCAGCAACTGGCTGTGAAGGCGGGTGGCTACGTCGAGTCCATCTGGACCGGCAAGGTTAACGCGAAGGGTGACTCGGATGACAGCTCTATTAGTTGGATCGAGATTGTGGAGAATGGGCTCAATGATCGATGTCAAGTACATTTCGCGTTGCGACGGATTTAGCTTAATCTGTTGTATTGCTGCATGGATTTTCATGTTTGGTGCCTGGTCTTTAGTCCTTTGTGGGATGCAACAATATGTTTTTACGTATCCCAACGGTTCCGGGGGAAGATAATTGTTGATGATTGTGATCGTCGGTCACAATTCAGAGGGTCGATTACGTAGATTGGAGCGCAACTGCAGCGTTTGCGATGATCTAGCAGCAAGGAGGTTCGAGATACGATACATTGTACTGAACACCAAGCATTGAGATGTACATCCCGTAGATACCAATGCGGGATTCCAACAACCCTCATGTACTTTAACGTCGACCTTGCGGCCAGCTCTAACCACGCCCAACATGATACATTCTGACTTCTTCCTAGTCCGAAAGCATCATCAAGTTAACTACTAACCTCCCGGCGAGTGGAAATACTTAAGAGCAAGAATACAGGAAAACATAACATATCAATGGATTGTATCACAGACTACTCGGGAACTAATCTCTACTGCTTCATCTTCGCAATCGCCTCATCCAGGGTTAACTCGGCACGTTCGTCCTGCCCACCCGGCAACAATGCCCAGAGGCCCCGGATGAACCAGGCGGCGAACGTGCCTCTGAAAGTCTCCCGTGCAACTCGCTGCTCGATCATGTCATCCAGTCCGTTCCTCACCGGGAGAAAAAAGTGCCCGTGGGGTCCGACCAGCTTGGTCATGTGGCTCCATCCCTCGGCCTTGATCCACTTTGTGACGATCCCCATAAGGCCCGCCGTCTGTCGACGCTTTCCAATCGCCTAATTGAACTCAGGCTCGACCCGTTGGGCTCCGACGGACCGTGATAGAAGAAACCGGGAGAGAATGGTCTGCCGAGCCTCGGCGGCCGCTTCTTCGCTCATCTCTTTTGGTTGAACATGATAAGCACCTTCTACTTGCGCTCAGGGACTCGATACCCGCACCAAATGTAGAAATTGGCGACGGAGGCCTCGTCCACAAGATACCGAGCAATGGCTTCGTCCAGGTGGAAGGAAGTGACGATGAACTGCATAGCGCTGTTGCCTTTGGCGGTCTTGAGAAGTTTGTTGCACAGGTGTTATAAACTGTAGAGGAGTAAGGTCTGGTGTTGGTAGTAGAGTTGGCTGATGGTAGTTGTACAGTGACATCAAGAAAGGATTTCGTGATCCTTTTATGTGGAAGCGGCACTTCTGGGCAGAAGTGGTCTCCTTTGCGTGAATGCAGACAAAAGTAGACAAAGATCCATTAATGTTACGGCAATGGAATTAAGTCCTGTGGATCATTGTTCGTCCTCACAGTCAATATCTGGTGCCGGTCAGGAGGGACCAAGCGGGTAGAAACAAAGATATTCCCGGGCTCTTTGTTGCATGAAAGACAGCAGTCTCACTCCAAGCCAAGAAGTCTTTATCACTCCAACAACCTTCTTGTCTTGTGCCTACCTTGGCAGGAACAGTGGTCCTACAGGTTGCTAATCGATTACCTATACGGTAATCCTGTCTTAGGGTGTATCACCCCTTCAGCCACCAAAAGCCTCAAACACTTCCCACTGTCGGTGCACCGGTGTAGGGCGGTGGGGGGTCAGCGGTCTTCATGAATACCTCGTATCGAATCCGACGAAGGTCTTGCTGTGCATTTTCGAAGGTCGTTCGCGCCTCATTCAGCTGCGCCTGCATGTCTGCCTCCCGAGACTTGATCCGCCGGACTTCGGCGGCCAGGCTCTCCTCCGCTCGCTTGATCTCCAGAACTGATTGTTGCATCATATCCAAGAACTCGAGGTGGAAGAAGAAGGTATCGAAGAGCATTCCCCCGACCCAGTCCCGTTCGACCAGACTCATGGCCGGTAGCGGCTGCACCATCGAGTCCAGCCGTTTCGCTTGTGCCGCCAGCATCTGCGTCTGGCTGACCTTCTGCTGCGCGCGGGACAGACAGTTCTGCTGCCGCACATCGACCAGGGTCCCTCCAAACCCCCATAGATCCCTCTCCGAGTGACGCAGACTCTCGACTAGGTTCAATAGCGCCTCCCGGATCGTTAGCTGCCCTCTCGCCAGACACTGCGCCGCCTGGTGGACGTCGCTCCAACGCTGCCGCCGCTGCCCATACTCCCGCCGCGCCAGCTGAGTGACCTCTTCCTGCGCATCCTCCTCCGGGAAATCCTCCGTCCGGCCCTCGAAGATCTCGCTATAGATGGCGTCGAGCTCCTCCTGCAGTCGGTCCCGCGCCACGCACGCGGCTTGAAGGTCGCGCTCCTGCGTCACCGCATCCGCGACCTGGGCCTCCAGCATCTCCTGCTGCGCCTGTGCGCGGCTCTCCTTCGCCAGCGCGGCGTAGTAATCACGCATCTCCTGATCGGCCTTGGCCTCGAAATCGGTCCGCTTGCCCGTCGCCCGGTAGAGCAGGCGACGCACCGTGCTGTCGCGGTACTTCTCGTGCAGCGCACGCTCGACCTGGGTGACCTGTCGGAGCTGTGCGAGCTGCTGGTTAGTCTCAGCCAGCGCGCGGCGGAGATCCGAGAGGTAGGATTCGTGCGACTGGAGCCTTTCCGGGCTGCTCTCGACGGCGGCGAGAGCGGCCTGGATTTCGGCGTGACGCTCCTTACTGGTTGCGATAGTCGTGTAGATTGACATGTTCTGTTGTCCACCTGAGTGTAATCCAAGTCGAGCGGGGAGAGGTTGGGATTATTTCCGTTATTCTCCAGGCCTCACTGGGAGTCTTTCTGGGGTTTGAGGGTCCGTCTTTCGCCACCCGGCGGTAAATGACGGCATCATGCAGTAATCGCCCGAGCATGGTTTTAACTCTCCTTGGATCATTCCCGGGGGATAATTAGTATTTTCACTCGTTTTACAGGAAGCTTCAAGAAATAAGAGCGCTCGGTCTCGATGCGATCGTCTCTGGCAGTGGCATCGTGGGCCAAGTCTGCGCGGCCTTGGATCACCAGAACACATTCGATTGTCTGGTGCCCGCCCACACACCCGCTCACGCCAAGACCTCGAACCTGGTAGCTAGATGCATCCCTAATCGAAAAGGGTTTAAATATAACTATCTAGTCTAAAAAAGGAGTTTTGAATTTATATTAAATCTAGAAAGAAATCAAACAAGAATTAATTTCCATTAAGATTTCTAGACTAAGAAAATAAGAGAAAGAAGGATCTATAGAATCTTACTCTAAGCTACATATATATTAATATAGTAACTATCTCAGGCACTAGTAGAAGCATACTATCTTGATAGACTAAGATACCTGTCATATCATTCAAGACCCTTCCGCGTATTACAATAAACTCCCTGGTGATATCTATCCTGCTGCCTCTGATACTTAGCACACTTGTCCCAGATCAGAAGACAGACCTCTAGCATGAATTAGGTTATCCATCATAAGCTGGACAACAACCCCTTAGTGTTTATAAAGACTAGTACGCAGGGTATATAGCTTAGACTAGTCTCTAAGGAAGTCAGATCCTACTTATAGTCTTTTAGTCGATATTTACTAACACAACCTCTAGTAGTATTATAATTAGTTATGATAAAACAATAGCTAATAAGATTAGAATAAATAGTAGCATAGATATACTATTATTTGTAGCTGTAATATCTACTCTAGAATAAAAGTACCCTCTAGATACTAGTTAGAATACAGCAGTAGTAATTCAGAGTAGAAGTAGTCCTAGAACTAGAGAGAAGAGTACAGTCAAGTTAAGACTGAATAGTGGAGGTGGGGGGGAGGCCACGGAGGGTGGGTGAGACAGCAACAGCGACACCGGGGGGTGGTACCGAGTGGGACCCCACCACCTTATCCACGGTTTTGATGTGCCGTTAGCCAGTTGCATTGCTAGGTGTATATATTTGATAGAGCGTGAATCTTTGTTGGTATATATTTTTTATCGTATAGTTTTCGGGTGTATGCCTGAGCGGGTTGGAATACATACTTTATTGTACTTATGCTAGAGTTCTCTACATTTATAACTGTGGTAAATGCGGAAGGAAACTTTCACTGAGAGTGGAACGGGTGGCACTAAAGAGGCTAGCAAGGTCAATTGAAGCGAGAACCAGCCAAGATGCATATCAATCCCCTGTCTTTATTCACGATCTAGACCTGGATTAGTCTGTGAATCTTGCAGACTTTAGTTCGACTTTATCATTTCCTTCAGAGGATCGGACACCAATCTCATCCCCTAAATCTTCTCTCAGTGCTCTTCGAGGCTTTTCCTCAAAAAGGTACGCGGAGCAGGTAGTAAAATCATCTACCTGTTCTCTCGTAATGTTCTGAACATCTCTCAACTCCCATAAATCTCATCATCCGTTATTTTGTCCCTAGCACAAGCAACGATTCTGGGGCTTTTTCTTCTACGGTAATATCCAGGCCACCATGGTGAGATGCTGACGCGTCGCAGACAGCTTCACTAGGCAGCCGCCAGTCTAACCGCTCCACAGCTGAGACCAAGGAGAACAGAATCTCTCTATCGTCTGCATTCTCGAGTACACCAGCTAGAAGGCCCTTGCAGCTCGATTAAACAGGGCGGGCTCGTCCCATTGAATGGTGGGGCCTTGCCGTATCCGTGTTTTGAACAGCCCCAAGTGTCCAAGAAGGTTAGACTATCCTTATTCCCCGGCGTCGGCGTGTGGGGCCGCAACTGATCGACAGCAACGCATCTTGTTTCAATTGGTGTTGACCTACCATGGCATCATGACAATTATCTGGCCGCTGAGAGGCTCCCAGTTTTAGAATGTTTGGGATATAAGTAGAGCAAGTTGCATCTGTGCATCTGGGAAGAAGCACAACTTTCACTGCACTGTACTGTACCGTCAGTCAACATGAGATACTTCGTTCTTGCCTGCGCCCCCCTTCTGTATGCGGTGACGCTCGCCTTCCCTCGCGCAGACTACGTAAGCGAGGGAAAGCTGCCTGCGGGCCATCCTCCGCTGGATTGGAAGCCCGCAGGCCTAGGAGACGGTGGGATTCCACTGCGAAACAAGCGTAAAAACTAACTGGCTACACAGCAAGGGCACCCTGCCCGATGCTCAACACCCTGGCAAACCACGGGTACCTGCCGCACGACGGGAAAGACATCACCAAGGCGCACACCATAGCCGCGCTGCACTCGGCGCTGAACATTGACCGAGAGCTGGCCCAGTATCTCTTCCAAGAGGCGCTGACGACCAACCCGGCCGCGAACGCCACAACTTTCTCGTTGAACGATCTGAGTCGCCACAATATCCTCGAGCATGATGCTAGTCTGAGGTCTGTCAGTCCCCAGTGCTGAAAAAGATAGCACTCCCAGGACCATTAGCACCAAGCACATTTCCGTTCTCCCCCCACTGACAAACAAACGAACCGGTATAGCCGACTGGACTACTACTTCGGCGACAACCACGATTTCAACCAGGCGATCTTCGACCAGACGCGCCAGCACTGGCCCGACCCGATTATCACCGTGCAGGCCGCAGCCAACGCGCGCGAGGCCCGCGTGCGCACCTCCAACGCCACAAACCCGACCTTCACGCTGTCGGAGCTCGGGACTGCGTTCGGGTACGGCGAGACAGCGGCGTACATCATCATCCTGGGCAATAAGACCTCTGGGTTGGTGGACAGGTCGTGGGTGGAGTATTTGTTCGGTATGTTCGATTACTACCTTAGTAGGGCAGTGCCTATGTGAACGCACAGTCGCTAGTACGCACCTATGTGGCCTCACGCCCCGACTGACTCAAACCAACAACAGAGAACGAGCGTCTTCCGGTTGAGCTTGGCTGGACTAGACATGAGGAGGCGGTCTCGATGGACGATCTGGAAGGCATGATGCAGGAGGTGATAAATGCGACAGGGCATGCTGAGGAGGTCAAGAGAGAATTGGTTCGGCGGGGTGACTTGCACGTGGGACGGAGGGCCTGATTACCTAGATTGATTTGTTCCCAAGATGTGTAGTGCTAACAGCATGTATCAGAAGGTTGGGTTGGCGAAACAGCGGTACGTTGAGGTGATGTAGGGGTGGGTATGTTTGGGAATAGCTGATTTCTAGCTTCGACTCTATCCTATCATTCTATACTACAGTTTGCTGTAGTACAATTTTCTAAATAGGCAGTGGTAGTTTAAAGTTTAGATAGTCTACTTCTCTGTTTTTTGTACTTGACCCTGCTTTCTCTACTATTGATTCCATCATGCTATGCTCAAGGCAGCTAGATATGTCTTCCTTAATCAGGTATTTTGTAATCTTTATACTCTTGGATCCCCAGACTTTCTTACTTCTGCTTCCTTTAAAGCTTGTCTCATTTGAGGAGTATTCCTTGGGGGTGTCTAGTATATTGTTACTTAATTTTCCGAAATAAAACTCTTGAACAATTGGAGAATCTCAAGCTGACCCTAACTCCCTCTACCGAATACTAACAACCTTTGTAAATAGAAAACATCACAGCCGCGGCCTCAGCTCCTGTCCAGCAACGTAACAGAGTCATCCTTTCCACCCTCCACCTCGACTATCTGGTACCGACCATCCTTAACCGCCTCCATTTCCATCTGCAACCCCCGAGCGTCAAGGTACCCGACCTCCCGCTGTACCTTCGGCAACAGGTACCCCGGATGAAGCAGGTTATAAACCGAAAAGGCGGGGACCATAATCGCGCCGTCCAGCCCGATCAGCAACATCTCGTTATGCATCGTCGAGCTCGTCCATCCGTGTAGCAGCTCAATCGTCCGGTACACACTCCGAATATAGATCAGTAGCAGCGAGAGCGCGGTCGCGCCACCAAGCAAAAGCAGGGGCCGGTTGGACCACAGGGCCTGCGGCCGGCCCCTTTTGGACAGGCGCAGCACGAAGTCGACGACCAGTCCCACGAATACGAGCTGGAAGATAATACCCCGGACCATGATGTGCGTGCCGCTCGTTTGGCTGCCGCTGCTATCGTTGCTGCTGCTACCTCCTGCCCCGCTAGACGAGGCAATCCCCCCTCCCGCGCCTTGCACAACCAACGCGATGATGTCGCAGATGCAGAAAATCCACGCATACAATCTGGGCGGCAGTCAAGAGGAGCTGTGTCCGAATATCGATACGAGTCGGGCGAGGATGACGTATATTCCCGCAGTAAAGAACGTAGGGGCTGCGCATTCGTAGAATCAGTATTCCGTTTGCTTCAGTCTGAGCACATTGGATATCACCAACAGGGGCTTCAGGGTTGGTACCGATGATGAGGGTTGTGATTGGTATCATGTACGGCGTCTGTGCGTGCAGACATTTGGCGGACCATACCCGTGCGACCCATCCAAGGAGCTCGACTGTATAAGTGAACTAATTAGAGGGTCGGTGTGTGTCTTTGCGGAGCAGTTGTGCATAATTAAACACCCAATTGAGAAGACGGCGCACCACCAGGACCGAAACCAGATCATCTGCGCAGTGTGGATGAGCTTCGAAGTACCAGAGAAGGCCACAAAGTAGGGTACTTCCGTACTCGTGTCGCATCGGACCAAGGCGGTTACGGCTGGTGGGTCTACCCTAACTGCTTCAAAGCCGCGCGTTTTCGAACCCGTCTTCTCCACCGAGCATTGTTGGCGGCTGAGATGCACACTGCTCATCTCTCTTTCCACCATACACCATACAAAATGCACAATCTCCTGTGTTTCGTATAGCTCAGCCGCTGCAAAGTGTATCGCTGGTCTGTATAGTCTCGATTAATGCGGGTGTACCTAGCCTACCCGCTGCACATGACGAATAATCGACGCGAAGTTGAAGAATGAGGATTCAATTGGACAAGCCATAGACCCACATGCAGATATGGCGGGACCCAGATCCGTACCTGGATCAAACACCGCTTCTCTAGCCCAGATGTATCGACCACAACAGCTGAGCAGCACTAACGAGCCCGTTGAGGACGTATCTTAGAAGATCCGGCACAGCAAAGTACGGTACGAAACTCAAGGGTCTTGGCTACAGTGGTAACAAGCCTCCTGCCAATCTTGACACAACCTTCTTGCTCAACGGTGGTAGTCCCGGCCATAAGCCCCGGCTCGTTGTCTCGTTGGGCAGGCTGATCATGTATCGGCTGGGCGAGGTGGTCAACCGGCTCTGGGGTTTGATTCGAGTCTTTAGTATCTAGTTGTCACTGGCTCGGTGGGGTGTTCCTTCCCATGACAGAAGGATCGTATCCCCACTAGCGCTTTTAAATTTGTTCCTCGATACTCCAAGCATGCATTACATTCGTCAAATTAACGTCCTTCCCACATTCCCACGTGGATGAAGTCTTTTCCCAGTGCTTCCCTTTTATGAGACCCCTTCCATGAGCTCCCGATTTCCGCAAGAGAAATCGACTGCAAAGTCGATTCCATCGGCAATGCCAGCTCCCCTCCCACCCTTTTCATAACGATTACAGTAGCACTAGGTCACAGCAACCCTTTACCCAAACAAATCATCCTCAACCAGACAACCCCAACACCCCGACATCGTCAATCAACCATCTCACCAACCCCCGCTCCTCCTCCTCCAAAAACATCCACGCACCGCGCAAAATATGCTCCGGCCACCCAACCGAGACCCACGTCCCATCCATCCACCGCATCAGCGCCGCGAAGTGCGCCACAAGCATCAACGCCACCGGCTGTTTCCGCTGCAGAGCTTCCCAGAACGGCTGCTCGAGGCGCGTCACCCACGTGAACAGGACGAAGCCGAACGGTTTTCTGTCAGAACTGGCAGCTGCAGCTGGGGTGGTGTTTTGGTCAGCATTGCCGTCGCTGGTGGGACATAAAGACGCAAATGCCTGGAGGGTATGGTCGATGGCGTTCCGGTAGGTCGGGAGCAGGGGGTCCGCTGCTGCAGACTGCTTCTCGATCCACTGTCGGATTTGGGATAGGCTTTCCCGGAATTGCTGGGTGATCGTGTGCGGGATAGCCCGGGGCGGAGGGCGGCACCCACTACCCAGCGTGGGAGACGGTTTGGTGGGTTGCTGCTGCTGGTCCTCCGGAGAGGCTCGCCCTTTGCTTAGCAGGGTAGAAACCGTATCGACCCCGTGCAGCAGCGCCAGCCACTCGATAGGGCCGGCGTCGGCGCCGCGATCGAAAAACAAAAACTCATTTGCCTGGGGTCCGCGCGCCAGGCCGATGAAGCATAACAGGATGGACCCGATCCAAATGACGTCGCCTCCTACCGAGATGTCCGGTAGCCCACGCGTTAAGAGCCGGAGGCCGGTTGCATAGTGGTGTTCAAAGCGGGCAAGGCAGCGGCCGTTGTCATCGCGATTTTGCACGGGGGCAGTCCGGGTCATGTGCAGACACGCCAGCGCCAGCATGAGGTGATGGACTAACGGTGATAAGAAGCTTGCGCGCGGTACCAGGGTCTGCCAGAATTCAGCGCTTCCGGGATCTTCGGTGAGGCTCGCGGCGGTCGAGCAGACATAAAAATGCTGGGGCTCGAAATCCTCCAAGCAGAAATCCGGCTCCGTTGGACGTGACAGGGTCAACGCGGGGGTTTTGTTGTCTGCCGGTGCGGGGGTCGCGGGCACGGGAGCGGGCGCTGGTTGGACATGGAGGAAATTGAATTCCACGAACTGGACCTGTACTTTGTTTTCTGTCTTGTGAGTTTGTGCAGGCAGGGTCACCGGCTTTTTTGTTTTAGGCGCGGGTGAATCGTAGATACAGCGCACAGAATGGTTGACGCAGTTCGAGCACTCGGGCTTTGTCTCGTCGCACTGAGTTCAGGTCAGTGTCTTTGGACTTTACTGGTTGGCAAGTTATTGGCAGACCTTCAAGTGCCTTCTTTTGCAGATCTTACATCCATTCCGTGATTTGCGGTGCGGCTTTCGCGACAGGACGGAATTGCGTGCCAAAGTTACAAAGGGGTCAGATGCGCCCATCGGCAAGTATTCACTGATGGCAATTGCAGTAAGATCGGAGGAAATGTTTGGAAGACTAAATATTTTTCCTTCCATGTTATGATTGCAGGCAGAAGCAAAGTCAGCGGAGGGCGAGACTAGCTGTTTCCAGTGCCGCCATTCGTTGACTCAATAACCGGGTCTACTTGGTTAAAGTGCAAGCGGCCGCGTAAGCAAGCTTGCAATCACGTACTCTCAGCGTGGCCCGTTGTTCGGGAATATACGTTCTGCAAGACTTGAAACAAGTGCACCTTGACTTCTACTGAGCATGTGAACTTTTGTATCTGTCAGGACCACGCCCGAGGGCGCTGGCTAGTAAGCCAATAGCAGCCATAAGCGCGGCTAAACCCAAGTCTATATGCACCGGAATCGAGGCTAACCCAAAACGCCGTACATCAGCCTTTTATTCCAACAAATCTCATCATGGCTTTAAGCATCACGTGAAGTATATAAATCAATATTCTTATATATTTTATTTTCTAAATACTAAACTGTATACTATCCAAGGTATAATGATAGTCAATCTAATTATGGTCCGGAATCCTAATATACCCCTGAGTATATCCTCACTGGGGGCTTGGAGGGCAGATAGTCACGTGACGTGTGGCCGTCCCGGGCGTCGTTGTAGCAATCCGTATTTCTTCTTACTTGAATTATCCAATTTAAGTTATATAGTCAAGCGAATCTTTATATCTCAACCTGACTGTCAGGCTACTGTCAGGTTACGGTTAAGATATTTTTTGTAATATCATGGCAGTTTGAATAGCATTGCTCTTGGAGGCGCGGACGAGATTCGATGGGGTGGCCGACTTGCTTATGTGACCAACTCACTTGCCGCTTACGTTGATTCTTGCTTTTTCAACCCAACAAGAGCCATCTAGGGATTTGAAGCTACAAAAACCATACGTACATGCTTGGACTTGATCGTTGAACTGGCGAATACCCTGCGTAAACCCATAAACAATTGAACTGCCTGGTAGCTCGCCGAGTATCAATTAAGGCCTACACCAAGCCCCACAAGGAGGGTTCTCGATTACGTAACGGGCCTTGCATCCTCAAAATGAATGTCTTGCCCGACTGATCAATCCTACAAAGAATCTGAAAAAATGCTCGGTGGCTCTTTTCCATGTCCTCATTAGGAATGCGAATTTCCTACTGGGCGTTCGAAATGCTGTTCTAGGCGGCAACGCAGCGTTCGGAGTACTCGTGGTCTTGAAGGCCAAGTCTGCCTTCTCCGGATGATCGGAATGATGGGGGAGACAAGCCGCGTGTGCGGATCTTTTACCCATTTCCATATTCAGCCCGTACTCGTGTTCAGACAGAATAGGCAAGATACGACGTATTATCTTACTCCGGAGAGATCTTGCGTGATGCTTTGAGGATCGATGAGCAATGTTACGTAATCCAACAACCTCCATGTCCGTAAAGGTGCTTGGGCCATATTTCCAGTATGAATGAAGAGAACGCTGAATGAGACACCGAGCAACGCCAAGCTATTCTCGGAATCCGCCAGGGCGCCGCGTATTCGTCGTCTATGTACCCCAAACTCAAGCTAACCCTGTTTCATGAAGTATCTTGCGTGCATTTGATATGACACACTTCGAACGGTACAGTGGCGGGAGATAATTTTGTAATCCTTATGATTGGTTCGGACGCTGCTGCGGGCATCGCCTTCTTATTACGTCCGTTAAGAAAGCATTGGCTGATATAGGCTTCTGCTTGCAGATTTGAGGTTAAGCTAATCGTAATCAATGAATCGGAGGAACCTTTGCTGAGGTTGGGGCTGTAGCTCGTTCAGTTTCTTATCTTCAGGACTATAGGGGTTCCAGGACATGCACCGCCACTGCCGATCTGATCACTCGCAACCTATTCGGCTTTTCCGACTAGCAATACTGTTTCGGGTGGGCTGTCATCAGATTGTTTGTATAGGGAATTCCAAGCAAAAGAAGTGCCACCTTGCGTAGGCAGCAAAGGGGTAGACTGCCACGTCCCACGCTTTCAATTTTAGTACTCAGTGTCGCGTTCCAAGGTTCACCCAAACAGTATCCACCCAGGGAACAATAAATAGAATAACATGTCCCCTGCCTTTCGCATTCAAGCTATCTCGATACCCAATAATTACTTGCCTCCACGCAAGTCGTTCACTCCTGTCTGAGTTACTCTTCTCGCCAAAAATGAGGGTTACCCTAATTGCTGGGGTGGCATCTTTGCTAGGCTTTGCCAGTGCCACCTCAAGTTCATCCACGCTGGGCATATTGAAAGCCAATGGTGGTGAGTGAAAAGCTAGCTCCTATCCCCTCTCTCTCCCTCCCTCAGACTTTTCGGAAGATACTCACTGCATCGGCATTTGTTAGTGGAGCTAGGGGAATGGGAAGCTGCATACGAAAAGGCATCTGCTTTCGTAGCAGACCTAACCACTGCTCAAAAGGTAGCGCTTATTACAGGCAGTAGCGTCGAGTCAACCAAAGCCAACTTCACTGCATTTTACTTTCTTGATGGAGATATGGGCCTACAAGACTTTTACTATGTCTCCGCCTTCAGCTTATCGTCTGCGCTTGCCATGACCTGGGATCGCGATGCTATTTACTCGCAAGCCAAAGCTGTAGGGTCGGAATTCTACAACAAGGGCATCCAGGTTGTAGCTGGACCCACATCACAGCCCCTAGGACGCACTGTTTGGGGCGGCCGCAACGTTGAAGGCTTTGGTCCAGATCCTTATCTCAATGGATTGGCTATGGGTCTCACCACCAAGGCATACGTCGATGCCGGAGTCATTCCTGGCGGTAAAGTTGGTAATCCCCAGCGTCTACAAACGTTCCATCATACCACATAGCAGTCTTGCTGACTCTATACTCTCTTTCTGCGAATAGCACTTCCTCCTTAATGAACAAGAAACCAACCGTTCTGCCAGTGATGCCACGGGGGCTCCTTATTCCTCCAATGCGGATGACAAGACTACTCATGAAATCTATCTCTGGCCCTTCTACGACGCTGTGAAAAATGGCCTCGGCGCTGTGATGTGCGCTATGACCAAGGTAAACGGGACGCTTGCCTGCGAAAACTCCGACCTTTTAATGAAGGCATTGAAAACCGAACTGGGATTTCCCGGGCTTGTCTGGCCTGATTTCGACGCTCAGAGCTCGGCCAGTGCTTCTGCTCTAGGTGGCGAGGACTATGGGTCAAGTACATACTGGAGTACATCTATTATCCAGAAACTTTTGTCGAACGGAACTCTTTCTGAGGCGCGCTTTAACGATATGGCTATCCGGAATTTGATGGCCTATTATTATGTGCGCTTGGATGATGGCCTGCAGCCAACTACCAGAACGACAGACACTTATATGGATGTTCGCGCCAATCACTCCAAGCTAATCCGTGAGAATGGAGCCAAGTCCATGGCTCTACTCAAAAATAAGAACGGTGCGCTACCACTGAAGAGCCCACATGTTATGGGAATCTTCGGTGCTCATGCTGGCAGTGTTATGGGTGGGCCCAATGGTGCAATCGATGTGGAAGGCTCTGGACCCACTTACCAAGGCCATCTGGTTACCGGCTCAGGATCTGGAAGGGGTTCAATCCCATACGTCGTGACACCGTTGCATGCTCTGACCGACAGAGCATCAAAAGATGGAACTATGCTGCGGTGGATCTTGAATGATACCTATACTAGTACTAACAGCTCTTCTCTAGTGGAGGCGAGCACGATATACACTAATGTGGAACCTTCTTACGCTAACTTTGCCACCGAATCTTCGGTTTGCCTTGTCTTTCTCAATGCTCTCGCCGGAGAAGGTGCTGATCGGATAGAGTTATATAACTCAAATCAGGATAGTATGGTCAATCAAGTTGCAGAAAATTGCAACAATACTATTGTCATCATCAATACTGTTGGGCCCCGACTGATGGATCAATGGATTGATCACGATAACGTTACTGCAGTTCTGTATGGTTCACTGCTTGGACAGGAATCGGGCAATTCTATCGTGGATATCCTTTACGGTGATGTCAACCCCTCCGCCCGCCTGATCCATACTATCGCCAAGAATGAGAGCGACTATAATGTCGGCATCTGTTATACCGCCCAATGCAATTTCACCGAGGGTAGGTAGAATGTTACTGCTTATTTCATATATAAAGCTGACACGTGACGATTTGAATTCATCTAGGGGTCTACCTGGATTACCGCTACTTTGATAAGCACGATATTACCCCTAGATATCCTTTCGGGCATGGTCTGTCTTACACTACCTTTGACTACTCCGACCTCAAAGTCACGGCTCCCTCGTCAATTAGCAAGGCTCCTCTGGGCAAGAAGAGCGTTGGTGGTCCGAGTGATCTCTGGGACAATGTGGTCTCAGTTTCTGTCTTGATCACTAACAACGGGACCTTGGCCGGTGCAGAGGTGCCGCAGCTGTACATCGAATTTCCCGAGGCCGCTGACCAGCCAGTCCGGCAGCTTCGTGGGTTCGAACGGGTCGAGATTGATTCTGGCGGCCACTCGTACGTCATATTCGACCTTCGTCGCCGCGATCTCTCATATTGGGACGTCATGGCTCAGGAGTGGCTCGTCGCTCCCGGCTCATATAATGTCTTCATTGGCGCGAGCTCACGCGACCTAAGACTGAATGGAACGTTTTCTTTGACTGTTACAGCCTAATCAGTCAAGACTCTTCCCTACTTATTGAACCATTCAGTGAACAGTTTACTCAAATCAAGGATACCCCGGGCAAGGGTTCATTCTTGCGCTGACCCCAGTCGGCCTGAACAACGTCTATATAGTGAATCAGCAGATATTTTCAGATGCTAAAAATAAGATAATAAAGATTATTTCTCAAATTTTAAGATAAAAAGATTTATTTGTATCTAAAATCATAGAGATAAAATCTAAATCTTATATATTAGACTA